AATAAAATAAAGTCATTGTGTCCAACTACAACTAAAAAATAAACATAAAATGGGGGAGGGCCTGGGGATATGGATCAGTGGTTAAGCACCCCCAGGTTCAATCCCTGATACAAAAAAAAAAAAAAAAGGTCAATGGTGAAGGATGGTGTTGGCTTTTGGAAGGTCTAGATTTCAGGCCTGGTCCTACCTCCCCAGATCTACTCCCCCACCCATCTCCCTTCAGTCCCTTTGAGACCTGTCCCCTAGTTGGCTGGGTGGGGGGTATGGAGAACATGCCCAGCCTGGTCTGACCACAAGTGCCTCAAATGTCATGAGGTTTTCTGAAACAGCCAACATTCACCTGAAGTCTCAGAGACCACTGTTCCCCTAACACAACACAGATAATGGATGTCAGGATGGAGGGGCAGAGAACTAAACAGCCTGTCCTGTCTTCAGCTGAAGTTGGGTTCATCCTCTATTTTTAAAAGGGGTTCCTGGGCTGGGGAGTAGCTCAGTAGTAGAGCACTTGCCTAGCATGTGCAAGGCCTAGGCTTGAATCCCCAGCACTGTGAAGACAAAATAAAACAGAGGGGCTCGTGATCCCAAGCTCCTATCTTTAAAATAATACCAGGCTTCAGCCAAAATTAAAGAGTCCTGAATCCCTACTTATCAGGGGCCTTCAGAATCACCTGGTAGATGCAGTAAATTGGAAACAGCAGATGCCCAAGTTGTGTATGTGGTGTGCAGTGAGCGAGTGGCAGAGCACCAACTAAAAGCTTAATAGTGATGCAGAATCTTGTCCCCATCCCCTAACTGTAGAATCAACCATCATTTTTACAAGATTCTCCGAGGATTTGGGCACACTGCAAAGTATGGGAAGAGCAGGTGCATAGCAGCCACACCCAACCCAGGCTGCACAGGAGAGGTACCTGGAGATCTTCTAAAGCCACCCATTTCTGGGCTGGGGAAGGGTCCAAGCACTGGTTCTAATATATAGTCAGGACTGAGGATGAGTGGGGAAAGTGTCAATCTGGCAGGTTCTGGCATCACCAGCACGATCTTGGGTCACCTACTAGCACCTGAGCCTTGCTCTGCTCAACTGTGAAGTGGGAATAAATGATGCTTCCTGAAGCTTCAAGCATTAATTAGAGAGAAGGAAGTCTGGAATGCATAGTAGAAGCTCAACAAACAGCTAGGAGCAAGAGTGAACCTGAGATCAAATCAGAATGCTCCTGGAGGGCAGGGAATTTCATTTATTCTCCTTCAGCCCTTCCCCTGTCCCAGCTCTAAGCAGCCCCTTTGTCCCCACTCCTAGGGTCTCTATCCAAGTAGGCCTGAAGTTGGAGGTGAGGATGGTCACCCCAGCTCTGGCACTCGATCTCCATCAACCTTAGGTTTAGAAAAGTGTGTGAAGTTCAGTTTAAACAGGAATTTTTTTTTTTTTGGTCAATGGAGTTTGCCTTCATGATTCTGAGTTAAACATTCTATTTTATGAGTCACATGACTCCGAAATTGCAGAGAGCTTGTTTTTCATTTGGTGGTTTCCCGGTTTACCAAAACCATTTCCTGCTTTAGGGGACTATTAATGGGAATTGAAAATGTGTGGCTGAAGTCAAATCATTTTAAAATTTTTTGGTGGCAACGTCTTGGAAGCTTTTCTTCTTAAGAAAACCCTCCCTGAGATCTAACCCACTTTGGGGGAAGTGGAGTAGCTCAGTGGCCTCAAGGGGGGCAGAGCAGTTCTACCAGCCCCAAACCCTACTCCTTTGATCTCCTGGATGCTGCCAATAAAAGCCAATCACTGAAGATAAGGATTGTAATCTAGAAGTGACCCAGAAACCAGGATTCAGACTCTAAGCTAGATCAATATTTTCTTTTTTGGGGGGGTGGGGTGGGGTGGGGATTGAACCCAGGTATGCTTAACCACTGACCAACATCCCCAACCCTTTTTTATTTTGAGACAATCTCACTAAGTTGCTGAGGCTGGCTTCAAACTTGCCATCCTCCTGCCTCAGCCTCCTGAGTCACTGGGATTATAAGGCTGCACCACCCTGTAATAAACAGCCTGTCCTGAACCCACCTTCAGCTGGGTAATAAACAGCCTGTCCTGAACCCACCTTCAGAATCCCCAACTTGTATTTGAGAAAAGTACCCTCACATAATAGCTCTTAACTTCAATCCTGGTACAGGTTAGGTTTGCAGTAAGTTAAGTGCCTTTAATCAACTCATTTTTCCTTCCTAAGAACTTGGAAGTTATGGAACTTGCTCAGGATCACACAGCTCTCAAAGGCTGGAGTCAGAATTCCATCTGGGGCATTGTGACCAGAGGACTCTGGTTTTCCAGGCAGAAGCATGAAGATTTGAATCCTACATTGAGGACTTAAGAGCCTGGGTGCTTCCCAGGAAATAGTGCGAGGGGGGGGGTTCATAAGTGAGCATTTTCTTGAGTGCAGGCAGGATCAATGCCCACTTCTGCTCCTTCAGAACCTGAGAGAGCAACACCAAACAAGAAGGCCTGAGCACCCCGTTTCCTTAGAGCCCTGAGGTCGTCTCTAGGCTATCCACTCAAGGTTACAGAGAACTGTCCTAACCAAACAGCCCCACCCCAGGGCAGGCCAGGTGCTCTGTGTGCCAAAGGCTGTTCACAAGTGGGAGTTTCCAGGGAGAAGCACCAGGCACACACCACAGGACATATCTTTCCCCCATATCCCAGGGGTTTCCCCCAAGCAGAGTACACAGGGGACATGTGTCAACTGCCACCACCACCCCCTCCTCTGCTCTAGAGTAACAGCTCCAAGATCCCCAGAATCACAGGCTGCTGGGTCCAACTGAGCTTTCTATTTTTCACTTCCTCCTCCTCAAGAGAAGAGAGCCTCTCTTACCAACTCCACCTTTTGGAAACCAAGCCCACCTTAAGATCACTCTGGGGCTGGGGATGTGGCTCAAGCGGTAGCGCGCTCGCCTGGCATGCGTGCGGCCCGGGTTCGAGCCTCAGGCCCCGGGTTCGATAGAGGTTTGATCCTCAGCACCACATACAAACAAGGATGTTGTGTCTGCCAAAAAACTAAAAGATAAATATTAAAAAAAAAAGATCACTCTGCCCATGATCTGTCTAGTGATTGGCCAAGCCTCACCACTTGCACAGCCCTGCAAAGGCAGTAGGAAAGCCTAACATTTGGCAGAGTTAAGGAACCTTCAACGGGGACAAATCACATTCTAGGAACTTGAAGGGACAGGCCAGAACCCAGGTCCCTACAGGGTGAAGGATGAGGGCAGCCAAACCAGTCTAGCTCCAAGATAGAGTCTGAATGGACCCTCATATTTGCATGTGTGTGGGGGTGGGGTGGTGAGGGTGGAAGAAACCCAGGCCCTTGTGCATGCTAGGCAAGTGCTCTACCCCAGAGGTACAGCCCCAGTCCCTACCTTTTAAGAGAGTGTGTATGTGGGGGGGCGGGGCGGGGGGTGTCTCACTATGTTGCCTAGGCTGGCCCTGAACTCTGGGACCACAGCTACATACCACTGTGTCTAGTAAGGTCCCCATCTTACTTTGGGAGAGACTTCTTACTGAAGTCAGAGAGAGGCCTGAGATTTGAAGAGTGGGAGTGGCGGCCCTAATCTACCTATACTCCAAAACGCAGCAAACTCCAACAAACAAAACCTCCCAAAGCAGCCTCCTTGCTCCTTTCTTCCCCGGGTTCAGGGAGGTCTTAGCTACCCCAGCAAAAGGCCCAAGAAAGCAGGACAGGGTCAAAGAGAGCCTTGGAAGGGACAGATACCCACCACTGGTTTGGGGGCCAGTGTGATGTACTCACATCTACAAGCCAGGCTAGCAGCAGCACCCTCAGATCAGGAAACTCTCTCACAGTCCAGGGAGCACTTCCCGGCTGCGGAGGGTAGGGCAGGGCAGGGCTGGGCTGGGCTGGACGAGGGAGGTGGGGCAGGGGCGGGGCTTGGATGTTTAAAGGGCCCCTGCCAAGGGGCTCATTTTCTCCTTGGAGCTACTTTGGCTACAGCTCGTCGCACCATAGTTCATTCCACACAGGAATTTCTGCCTTAGAGCCAGCTGGCGGCACTGGAATGAGACTAGGAGGATCAGAAGGCCCGAGATAGGAGGGCAGATGGTGACTGAGTTCTCCTCTACCGCATGTGGCTTTCATTGTCCAATCTGGGTGAATAAGATTCTACCTTTCTGCTCAAGTGTGGCCAACTGTTTGGGCTCTAGCTGCAGCCCCCTCGAGAGAAGGTAAGTTTGCATATTTTATTTTAGATTCAGAAAATTTCACCCAAGTTTCCAAATAGACATTCAACCCAATATACACACATGCATGCGCGCCCACACGGGCACACATACACACACACACACACACACACACACACACACCCTCTTTCCTGCTGAAAAACTGATGTGACTCCATTTTTGAAAATAAATAAATAACAGCAGCTTCTACCTCAAAGCCTGTCCTAAGGAAGGGGACGTGACCCTTGTCCTTGGAAAAACCCACAGAGCACTCCTAGGCACATACCCACCCTGCTGAGTTGTTTGTGTACAAATAACAGGAGAAATCTGTGGTGCCAGGTGTCCCTGACTCAGTTAAGCTAGGTGAGGACCCATAGCAACCCCCTAAGGACTTCCAGTCAGCATGAGTCAGGGAAAATACCTGGGATGCCAGATGAACCCCCCCACCAGTAGTTTATGGTGGTTGATAACATGTTGGGAAACCATGTAGTTTAGCAGGTACACCCCTCGTGGCCTAAACCAATCAGTTCAAAGGAACCCCCCCCCAGTACTAACCAATCACCCCTACCTAACTTGTTCCCGCCAGTGAATGTGCTAATCAATATTAAGAGCTGTTGTTTGATTTTTCAGCGATATGGAATGATTTGCTGTGTGATGTTGTGAAGCATAGAGTATCCCCTCAAAACCTATAAAATCTCACTGAACTCACTCCCTGGGACCACTGCGCCGGAAACGGTTATAAGTCCAGGCTCGAGCTTGCAATAAAGACTCTTGTGTGATTGCATTGGATTCGGCTCCTGGAGGTCTATTGGGGTCCCACGAATCTGGCATTACACTGCAAGGTGCTGTGTTGGGAGCTTGGGGTTCTTTTTCCCAAGTTTCCCAGCATCCTGGGTTAGGAAAGTTAGGAAAAGAGGACTCAGGCCCTAGCAGATACAGTCTCTGCATTCTAGAGGCAGTAGAAACAACAGTCAGTATTTCCGCTGTCGAGGGAAGAGACTACTCCCTGATGACCGGAGTGGGGGGCTGGCTGGGCTGGGGTCCTCTGAGTCCAAGCTGAAGAGGTCCCTCCCAGTACGAAGAATCTGCTCCTCCAGCTTCTTGTGTCGCTTCATGTCTGAGAGGACCTTGTCCAGGCGGGCCTCCCTTTTTTGGCTCCGGGCTGAACTTCCTAAAGAGGAAGGTAGGAAATGTTGAAGAAATTGAGGGAGTGGATCTTACTCATCACTTGGGGAGCTTCCTTAATACCCAGGTTTCCAGGCCTCAGCATGGGGATTCTAAGGAAACTGGACCATAAATGGGGAGAGGGGCACAGCAATGAAAGTCTTGAGTTAAGAGAAGGCACCACTAACGTGATGAGCAAGCGTGATGGCCTTGGGGCAGGAAGAAAAGTTTGTTCAGAGATGGTAGGGGGAATCTCGGATGCTCTCCCCCCAACCCTTGCAATGGAATCCCTGGAGATGTTAAGCAGAAAAGTGACATGAATTCTGTTTTAAAAGGACCACTCTGATGCTGAGACTGGAAGCAGGGAGGTAAGTTAAGAGCTACTGTAACTATGTGGCAAGGGAGATAGTGGCATGGATGAAGGTATGGAGCTGAAGGCAGACATTAGCAGATAGACTTGGAAACGTTGTGGAGCAGAGCTGGTGGTACTTGCTGCTGGCTTGAATGTTCAGGTAAGAAAAAGAGAAATCAAGAATGACTCAAGAGCCAGGCGAGGTGGTGCATGCGTGTAATCCAGGAGGCTCAGGAGGCTGAGACAGGAGGACCTCAAATTCAAAGCCAGCCTCAGCAAAAGTGAGGTGCTAAGCAACTCAATGAAATACTGTCTCTAAATAAAATACAAAATAGGGCTGGGGATGTGGCTCAGTGGTCAAGTGCCCCTGAGTTCAATCCCTGTTACCCCCTCCCCCACCAAAAAAAAAGAATGACTCAAGAGTACATTCTAGAATGTCAAGGAGGTGGGAAATTGGGTCAGATTAAGTAATTTACACAGTAGTACAGGGATGTGGCGCTAGATAATAATGAACAGGACTTGGACTTTTGAAGAGAGGATAAAAGGAACGGGAAACATAATACAACTATCTGTAATAGTCTATCAAAATAAGACAAGGACAGGTATGGTGGAGCACGCCTGTAGTCCTAGGGACTCAGGAGGTTGAGGCAGGAGGTTCACAAGTTTGAGGTCAGACTCAAAAACTTGGTGAGGCCCTAAGCAAGTTGGTGAGATCCTGTATCAGAATAAAAAGGGCTGGGATGTGACTCAGTGAATGCCCATTACAAGAAAGAGAGAGAGAGAGAGAGAGAGAGAGAGAGAGAGAGAGAGAGAATGAGATTAACCTAAGCTCACTGGAGCAGCTACAAGTTGTATGACAATTGAGGCACCCAGCAAAGGCCTCTTCAGGGGAGTCATTTTTGATGTAACTGAGAGGAGAGGCCCTTCACCTCCTCCCCAAACTTTTCCCTCTTGTACCTGGGGTGCGTCTCCGGTCAATCAAGGAGTCCTTTGGTGTCATTGGCTCATCATCGAAGTCAAATTCTGTAGGCATGTGAGGTCTGGGACAGGTGGACAAAGAATGAAGGGTAAGAGTAGTCCTCCCAAACACCCACACGTTTTTCCCCCAACCTGTCGGCGGCTCTTCCTTTCCTGTTCCCTTCCTCCACTTTCTAAGCTCCTGGGTCCCACTTTTTTTTCCCCTCCCTATTTTCTCCTGGCATCAGGAGAGCAGTCCCAGTGACAAGGTGTAAGATTGTGCTCTCACTTTTCCTCTTCTTCTTCCTTGGCCTCCGGCTCCTCATCAGATCTCTCCTCTTCACTCTGGGCTTCGGGTGTAGGGGGCCGTCGGGGCAGGATCTCCGCTTGAAGCTCCAAGGTACCTTGGACAGCCAGCAACTCATAGAGCCGCTGGATTTCAGAGGGCGGGGGCATCCAGGGCTGTCCGTCCTCGGGCAGCTCCACCTCCTCATCGCTGCAGGGCACGCACCAGTCCTCGGATTCTCCCTCGACACGCTCCTCCCCCTCGGCGCTGGGTACTTCAGTTGCCTCCTCAGTCCCGGGCCCGGCATGCTCGGCCTCCTCCTGTCCTCCTTCCCCCTCTTCCTCGGCCTTATTGGCCAAGACAGAGGGACCTCCGGTATCCTCCACGGCCAGAGCCTGGAGGCCGGAAGTCACTTCCCCTTCTTCAGACAGAGGCGCCGCCGTGGTGGACGCAATGTCTCCATGACCCCGGGCAAGGGACATAAGCCACTAGGGAAGGGGCCTAACAATATAGGAAACGCTGGAGTACCAAACCAGGTCCTCCCGCCCCAAGTGACTGGGATCCCCAGGGTTTTAGGAAAATCTCTCTTCAACCAATCAGGCTCCAACAGTATTCTAAGTGGCCAGAGCGCCTATCCCCAGGAGGGGGCGCTCAGACCCCTGCAAGGTAGGGTCCCACCCCAAGGATCGAGATCCGGCACTCTGACGGTCCCGAGGACCCGCAGAATCCAATTTCCGAGTCAGAGAGGGGCGGAGCCACTAGTCTCGCCTTCATATCACTCCTCTCCACAAGTGGACTCCGCACCCTCTCGCCGGACCTCGCAGTTGGGGGCCGCGTCGACTCAGCCGCGGTACGCACCTGGAGCTAAGACCCGCCTCCCGGGCTGCGCAGAGTCACAGTACGCAGGCGCATAGAAATGGCGCGGGAGGCTCCGCTCTAGTCAAAGCTACTTGGGATAGGAAGGCAAGGGAAGGTTTGCACATGCGCAGGTAGGCCTCTGGCATAACAGGCTTTGGCCCACAGTAAAGATGGCCACCACGCCGGCGCATGCGTATACCATCTTTTGGGTTCTGCCGGGAGGCAGTGCTCTGGACCGGCAGACGAACGCAGGGACCAACAGAGACTGGAGGCGAGTCTCATGCAGTCTCCGTTTATTGGTGTTTCAGACTCATGCAGCATTCAGCATACAAAAAGGGAGAATCAGTTTGATATATTTTTCTTAAAGGAGTTTTAGGGTTTTTTCCCCCAGACTTTTTTTTTTTTTTTTTTTTTAAGAAAACAAAAAACCCGCCAACTCTGAACCTCGTCGTAGCTGGCTCCCTGCCTCCTCAGTGGCTGTCGCGTGCAACCAACCTCCCTCGTCCTCTTGGAAAACAATTATAGAAGTCACCCGCCCCTCCCTCGCTCTGGGCTGCTGAGAGCTTTGGTCCTATTTTTTTTTTTTTTTAATTCTTTCCTTACAAAGCACGCAAGTGGCCCGAGCCCTTACACCTTCAAGGAAGAAGCTCGTGGGCTGAGGTTAAAAGACTCAGGTGGGCCGGTCAACCCTGGCTGACTCCTCTACCACCGCGCCTCTCCCTACTTCGCTGTGTTCAGAATTGCTTCCACCATTGCACAAGTCCCCAGATGGGGCCTGGCTTGCAGCTCTGCGACCCAAAAGGCGCCCGGTGAGGGGGTGGTCTGAGCCTGGGTGGTCCCAGCAGAGAACAGTCGGAGCCCCAGGCTAGGTAGCCCCCTCCCAATACTGCTCCCTTTCCCCCAGCCTGATCTAAGTGCTGGAGCTCTTGCAGAATAAATGATGGCAGGAGGGTGGAGGAAAGGATGCTAAGGGAAGATGAGGAGGCAGAAAGAGGAAGGGGGTGGGTGATGTAAAAAGGGGAGGGAAGATGATAAAGGAATGGAGAAAAGGAATGGGGTTAGATGCCAAGACAATGAAAGTCAGGAGAAGGAAGACGAAGATGAGGTTCAGAGAATTCAGAAGGCTGGGAGAAGTGCAGGGAGGTGGGAAGAGATGCAGGGAAGCTGAGAGCTCAGAGAGTTTGGGAGATGTTCAGGGAGGCTTCCAGAAGTAGGAAGGTTTCCAGAAGTGCAGGGTTAGGGAGGCCAAGAGGCTGGAGGGGCTATCCACAGGCAGAAGTGCAGGGAGGTTGGAAACAGTGCAGGGAAGAGGGAGGCCTACGGTTGGCAGAGGAGCCTGGCAGGATGCAGGAACAGGAGAGAAGCTGTAAACAAGGCCGCTCAGGCTCCCTTGGTCCCTAGGGATGGGGGCCAGGGCCATCAGTTGGGCTCCCCCCAAGGGAGGGATGGGCCCAAGGCAGCTCCCAACAGGAAGAAAAGTCTTGGAATGCAGGGCAGAGCCCCTCACTTATACACTGTGGGAGAGGAGAGGGAGGGAGAGACAGAGACAGGGTCAGGGAGAAAGGGGAGACAAGGAGAGACAAAGGAGAAGTAGGGAGGACAGACAGGAGAGAGCAGGGGCAGGGGTTAGTAAAGCTGCCCTTGCCAACCCTTCCACTCCTCCCCTGCGTGTCCCTGACCCCCACTCACCGCCCAAGTTGATGACGCAGGAGGCGATGATGATGAGGACCCCCCCCACCAGCGCCACGATGCTTAAGAGCTTGGCCACACGGCCCAGACGCTGGGCCCCATCCACGTCCCCCTGCTGCAGACTGTTCCGGGACTGGGGTTAGGGTGTGGGGTGGAGGTACCATGGCCCAGGTCAGGAGAAGCCAGCCCAGCAGGGATCAGGTGAGTCGTCCAGAGGCCAGCCCCATGAGGTTACGGGAGGAAGGGGGAAGAGGGCACAGGTCAGTGAGGCTGTGTGACATATGTCTCCATATTCCTCCCACCGAAGGGGTAGGGCAGTGGTGGCTCAGAAAGTTAGATCCTGGGCAGGACCAGCAAAGGCTGTATAAGTGGGGCAGTGGGAACCATGCAGAAAGGGTAGGGAAAGTGTGGTTTATCCTGGGGCTCACCATGACGGCATAAGCGAAGGCCACGATGTTGACAGGCCACATGGGGCAGAAGCAGGACAGGATGGCAAGGATGATGTAGTCACGAGGTTTCTGGGTGCCTTCACCTCCCTCCACCCCAGGACCTGCCAACTGGGAGCTGGGGTGGCGGCTTAGGCTACCTCGGGGAGATCCTGGATGCCCACTATGGGCCCTTCCTATTCTGTCCTCCTCAACCAGCTGCTGCAGCACACGGGGGGGAGCCCCATTGGCTGGGGGCGTTTTTGTTGAGGGTGAAGAGTGAGGCTGGGGTGCTGGGCCCTCTTCCCCATCCCCAGCCTGTAAAGGGATCACTGCCCCATTCTCTTGCTTTTCCCCTACACTTTCTGTCAGGACCTCAGGGGTGGGGTCCTCCTGGGTAGGGGGCTCTATTTGAAGGGCTGGTTTGGGGGTGGGCTGGGAAGTTGGCTGAGGGTCTGACTGGGAGTCTAGCTGGGAAGCAGGCTCTGAGGCTGGCTTGGGAGGGGCTCCAGACTCCTGCTCAGACCCCTGGTCTGCAGTGGCTTCTTTGTTCATTTCTGGTTTGGATGCTGGCTCTTTGCATGCCTCTTCAGGGATGGAGTTGGCTTTTGAGTCCCCTCCTGGGCTTAAGCTAAGGTCTGTGGCCTGAGCTGTTTCTGGGGCCCCAGCTGGGGTGTCTGTAGTTTCTGGAGCCAGCCCAGCATCAGGCCCTGAGTCCACAGGGGCTGCAGTGGTGTCTGGGCCTGGCTGTGGGGCCTCTGGCTGGTCTGGGACCTCTGCTAGGGCCTGGAGAGGGCCAGTTCCAGCTTCAGAATGGCCAGGCCCTTCTCCCTGGGTCTCCGGACAATCCTCGACCCCCTTCATCTCAGAGCTGCTGGCTGCCATCTTGAGATGGGAGAGGGGAGAGAACCCCTGTGGGAAGGAGGGAACAGCAGACAGTAGCAAACCCTGCAAGAGGAGGAGACAGGCTTGGTGTGAGGAGAGAAGTGGGGCTGTCAGCACTGCAGACCCAAGAGGGCCAGGCTCCTGTCTCAAGGCCAGCCTTGTGCTGTCTCTGGGATGAAGAAGAAAAGTTGGGGTTTCCTTTGTTTTGGGGTGGGACATCCCTGGGGGAGAAGTGCTCTACTCAAAGCTTCCTGCATGGGCACCGGTGGAAGAAAATTACTTTTATAAACAGGACTCTCCTCAGGGTCTCATCTTTGGTCTGCCCAACAGAATCCAGTCTCTCACATCCCAGCAGATACCCCAGCACCCCCAAATCAACAAACTGTGCAGCCGCCACCGGGAAACTCCGACAGGCAGATTGGGCAGGGGATCTGACACACACACATTCCACTCCCTCGGCATCCTTCTCTCCTCCCTGGACGCCCAGGCGGTGCCGGTATTCTTGCTGCGCGTTTGGGGCGCAGACGCCCCTGCCTTTTCCTAGGGGACCTGGGCATCTCCTGAGTTGCTTTTGAGCCCCTCTTAGGGATTTTCTCGCCCTCCGCGGGCTGGCACCTCCTCCTCCCCATGGCGCGGGGCACCCAGCACCACCTTCCAGCTCGCCCGGCGCCCGCATTCCCGTGCAATCAGGCCGTCTGTAGGTCCACTCCTACCCGCAGCTTCAGTCCGTCCCAGTCTCACCTCGACGCCGGCCTTCAGACTGCTCCCGCCGCCACCGCCGCTGCCGCCGCCGCCGCCGCCGCCGCCGCCGCTGCAGCAGCCGCAGCCCGGGAGGGAGCAAGTCAGCTTAGGAAGGAGGGAGGCGGCGGGTCTCCCCTCCTCTCTCCTCGCGTTTGCTCGTCCCCTCTTCTCTGGTCCCCTCCCCTGCGCTCCACTGCCGCCGCGCGCCCGCCCCCGCCCCTTGCACGCCTCCGGCCCCTCCCGGCCAGCCCAAGGGAGCCTCGCGTGCCAGGCCCTGCGTTACCAAGGCAACAGACCCAGGGACCACTCGCGACCCCTCCCTGCCCCTTCCCACGCGCGCCTCCCGGCGGGACGCCCCCTTCCTAAGTCCTCGGCCCCTCCCGCCAACGGTCACCGGGGGTCCTGGCAGAGACCGGGGGTCTGCGAGGAGAGACGGGACTAATGAGGCAGGCAGGAATGGGTGGAGGCACCCCTACAGCAGAAAGAGGGCAAGGGAGATGGGGCAAAATTTGGGGAGGCTGCAGAAAAGCAGGGTGGGGTTTCAAGAGAAGGGAGACTGCAGAACAGTAAATCTTCCTATCCCCAGGGAAGGAGCAGCAGAAAATGGATATTGGAAGATTGGAAGGCTCAGGAAAGGGTTCTTGGAAAGGACGGAGCTAGGCAAGGAAAGGGAATTCCAATAGAGCCTGCAGGGACAGCTTGGAGCAGGAGGGGCTAGGACTGAGGATCCACCGCAAATGCAGGGCGCTGATGCGGATGATGCGGAGATCCTGCAGGTGGAGTGCAGTTATTCTGAATCTTCCTGCTCCTGGCCCCAGGGCCCCCTCAACCTTTCTGCACCTACATTACCCATGATGGCTTTTCAGGGTTAAGGGTGTGCAGGTATTTGTCCAGGGTCCTGAGCAGCTGGCAATGAGTACAACCAAGGGAGAGCAGTGTTTATGTTCAATAGCTGTTTGGATGCCTAACCTGGGCCTCTTCAAACCTTTAGTGGTTATTCTGGACCTGTCCAGATTATTTCCCCAGAAACCTGGGAGCCCTAGAACTTGCTCTCCACATCCATTGGAGCTTTGGCCACACCCTAAATCTGTGCTGCCACCCCGAGGGCTGTCCTTGGGGAAGGAGGAGCCAGAGCACAGAGCTATATACAGCAAAGCAAGGTTGGGACTGATACCAGGCACAAGAACCACCCCCTAGGAAGTAAGGACAAGGGGCTTAGTGAAGGAAATTCATTGAACCCAGAGCCAGAACCAGGTTTTATTTAAAATTTATTGTAATAGGGTCCGCGCAAAAGGAGGGGGGTGGAGGGTGAGGAACATGCAGGGGACACAGGAACACGATGACATGGCCAGGGCCACAGCTTCTGTCATGGGGAAGAGGGATGAAAAGAAAAGACCAGGGCAGGAGCTGGGGTGGAAGAGGGAAGGGGGAGACACTGGTTGCATTCCCCCTGCCCCCAGGAAGCACCTCTAGTCCCTGGTTCCCCTTATTTACCCTGGGCCCCTCAGATTCCATCTCCTGTTCTGCCTCTGGCGCTAGTGGCTCCTTCTTTTGCCCCCTTTGACTTTCCCCACCCCCACAGATTTTCAAGTAGGATGACGTTTAGGGACTAACCCCCAACAACCCTACCTAATGAACTTCTGCCTTCCCTGCTTCTGCCCCTTCTCTAATCTCAACTTTCTCCTTCTCTGGGACAGAATCTTTGACTCCCCTCCTTCCTCTCCTCCCTCCCCCTGGAAAACAAAACAAAAGAAAAAAGAAAGAAAGAAAAAAAAAAGCACCAACTCCCCAGGGAGGGGCAGCAGACAGAAGGGAGAGGACTGGAAGGAGGAGAGCAAGGACCACGGAGGGAAAAGGCTCACAAATCCCTGGGAGGGCAGGGCAGGGGATTACAGAGAGGAGAGGGGGTGAGGGCAGTGGCTGCTCCTGTCCCCTGCCACCCCTGCCCACTGTCCAGGGGACTTCAACACAACCAAGGGAACAGGTGTGTATAGGGGTCAGCTCTGGTAGGGAGAAGAGAGGAGCAGGAGAAACAAATCGTTAAATCTAGTGAATTCCCCTAAGAACACATTTCTCCCTCCTTTCCTTCTGGAGGCTCCTTGGTTGGTGAGGGAGTAAAGAGAGTTGGTGGGAAGAGAGGGGGAGAGGAGATTGTACCAAGGGGCTTTTCTCTGCTCTCCCTTCTCCCCCCACCAACTTGGAGCTCACCAGGGCTGGGAGGGAAGTGGCTGAGAGCTCACTGGCACCCCCTCGGGCCCAGAGAGGGAGCCCACAGCTGTGGGAGGGGCTGCCACTGCTGCTGCCGCCGCTGCTGCCGCCGCTGCTGCCGCCGCCGCCGCCGCCATTGGACAAACCTCACCAGTACCTGCACAGTGAGAAATACCAAGGATCACAGCGCGACCTGAATGGCAAGAGCCATACCCCTCAACCCAGACTCTGTTTTTCCAGACTACTTCCCCTGGGACACAGCCGTTGGTCACTTCCTATCTGGTCCCCAGAGGTTTTGGCCTGACTCCTTACCCAGACAGAGCAGTTCTCCTGAAGGGCCCTCCCTGGCCCTGGAGTCTCCCTAACCTGAGTGATAGATTGGCATCCCTAGCCTTCCTGAGATCCCCTATAGGGCCCTTTGAGCCCTCTTGTCCCACACACCCCATCCCGCCCCCCCAGCCATGCCCCACGCCTTGCCTGGTGGGTGCGGGGGTCCCCCTCAGCAGGTGGGCTGTGGCTGGGGGGCATCTCCCGGGATAGGGGGGGCGGCCCCCCCCAGATGGGTCTGCATGTGGCCGGCCAGCTGGGCAGGGGTCTTGCAGTGCACGCTGCACAGCTTGCACAGGATGCGGTCAGCCCGCGGGGCCTGGAGCCCATGGTCCTTCACCGCGTGGATGCGCAGGTATGCTGCTGTGGTGAAGCCTATGGGGGGGTGGATTGGGATGGGGGGTGGGGGGTCAGCCAGATGGAGACCCCAGAGACGGGGCTGTTCTCCTAGGCTGGGGACGCCCTTCTCAGATGGCCCTGTCCTCCTCCCACCACATCCTTGGTAGCCTGGGGCCAACTACTCTGCTGGGGCTGGTGGGGCACAGGCAAGGCCCCTCCCTGAACCAGGGGCCTGATTTGAGTGGTGCCTACTTCTCAGTCTTGGAAAGCACAAAGCTCATTCTTTCTTCATGGCTGGGAGATCTCTCCAGGGACAATAGGACACTGATTCCTAGCTACTTTAAGGGTTGACTCTCAGGAAAGACGGCTGTGTCCCTTCCCTCCAGTGTCCCACAGTCTCAGCCCAGTTACTGAGTTAAGTGCATTTAAAAGAAACTTTTTCTGCTACTGGGCCAGGATGTGTGCTTGTTAAACCCCTGCCAGTGTACTTCATTTGCCCAGGAGCTGGAGACAAGAACTTGTGGCTACATGGCTGAACCTTGCCTTCTGACCCATGGGGACTGGCTCTCTTGACTAATTCTTTCCCAAAGCAGCCATGTCCCACTTCCAATTCTTCCCCCACACACCCAGGAGGTTGAATCTTTCTGGTACATCGTCTCTTCCAGCTATGGCTTCTCAGAATTTAGCAATGTTCAGTTGTTCCCAATGCTGCTTGGTTTGCCTCCCAAAGGGCTCTAGATGCCACGAGCTCTTGGCTACAGCACCTTTAACCCACATCTGTGGAAGAGCCACCAGCTTTGTGCCTCCCCTTTTTCCCTGGCCCTCTTGACATCCCAGAGCATATACCTTTGTTGCAGAGCTCACAGACATGGTGAGGGCCCTGGCTGTGCACCTTCATGTGGTCCGAAATATAAGCCGAGCTCAGCATCTTGCCACACACATGACATGGCACCTTCTCCTCGTGTCGTACTGTGTGCGCCCGGAGTCGATCCTTCGTAGCAAAAGCTGCCTCACATTTCTGGGGAGGGGGGAGGGGCGTGGGGGGTGTCACAGGAGAGTTAAAGTTTCGGGGAGTAGGGAGAAGGGAGCAAGAGGTTAAAGGGATCAGAGCCTTGGGGATCTTTGATCTGTAGGAAATGGGAGTGTGATGACGAGGCCTTGAGGAAGAAATGAGAAAATGGAGTGAAAAGGCAAAAAGAAGAGAGAGAAAAAGGGGGTCTGAGAGGCTGAACTCAGACAACTACAATGAGGCTCAAAATCATGAAAACCAGGACAGGAGGAGGCGGGCTTCCTACCTCACATTTGAAGGGCCGCTCTGTGGAGTGCACTTGTCTGACGTGACTGTTGAGGTGATCCGGCCTGGGGATATGTTCGGGTCGGGGGTTAGGGCCGAGGCCCTGAGATTGGGAGGTGCTGCCTCAAGTCTTGCCTAGCTGCCCATTGCAGGCTGTTTAAAAGTCCCTGCGTTTTCTCCCAAAGACTCATGGTCCTACACAAGCAGGAAATCCCTCCCATCCAACCCGGCTTCCTCCTCCTCCTCCCACGCGAAGCTATCCTTCCACCCAAAGACCCACCTCCTTTGCAAAGTACCACCCCCTGCTCCCTGGTAACCAGGAGAGGCTTTCCTCCCTCCTCCCTGGGAGTGGCTCCCCTTCCCCATCCTCGGAGCCGCTTCCCTCCCCGCCAGCCAAGGCCTGGCCACCTCTGTAGGCGTCCCTCCCTCCCCACCGGCCTAGTGGGCGACCGTGGCCCCTGCACACCGGGAGAAGCTCTTGCCACAGTGGGAGCAGTTGTAGGGCTTGTGCACAGCGCCGTCATGTGAGCGCACGTGGTAACTCATGCGGTCCTTGCGCTTGAAGCGCTGCTGGCACACCGGGCACTGGTAGGGCTTCTCGTCCGAGTGCGACAGCTTGTGTCGGTTCAGGTGGTAGACGTCGCGGAAGGCCTTGCCGCACATCTCGCAGGCGTGGTTCTTCCGGATGCGCTTTCCCGAGGCGGTCGTGGTCACTACGCCACCGGTGGCCACTGCAGCCGTGCCGCCGCCGGCACCCGCTTCTCCCCCTCCCCCGCCGGCTCCGCTCAGCTGGGGCACGCTCAGGAGGCTCAGGGGCACCATGGTGGGCATCTTCATAGCACCCGAGGGGACCCGGCCGGCCTTGGCTCCGGTGTGGATGGCTTCGTGCCTCCGGAGATTGTAGCCGTTCTTGAACTCTTTGGCGCACAAGGCGCAGATGTAGGGCCCCTTGCTCTTTGTCTTCTTCTCCAAGGCAGACGCAACAGGGGCCACGGCGACCGTCGAGGTTGGGGAGACGACAGCGGTGGCCGCCGCTGCGGCGATGGTGGCGGCAGAGGCGGGGGGCGCGGCCTCGGCGGCGGGCGCCGACACAGGCGGGGGTGGCGGAGGGGGCGCCGGGGGCTGCTTCAGGGCCGCTGTGTCCACTGTGGAGGCGGCGGCGGGGGCCGGGGGTGCAGTAACCACGGCGGCGGCGGCAGCCGCGGCGGCCGCAGCAGCCGCTGCGGATTCCTGGGCGGCGGCAAGGACCGGGAGCAAGTCCACCTGGAGGGGCTCGGCCGCCGGGGCCTGGGGCGTGGGTGGGGGCGCCGGCGCGGCCTGCAGAGACAAGGACCGTGTGGGCCGCGGCCGCGAGTCGGCGCCCTCCCGGCCCGCCACGGCCGGCCCCTACTCACCTGGAATGGACTCTGGGCGCAGCCCTGGGAGGCAAAGAAGCGGGACTGGAGCTCAGCCCCGACCTGCAGGGGGTTCTGGGCGTGACCCTGAGGTGGCGGGAAGGAGTTCATGAGGCCGCCCACCCCCCGGGAGTCCAGGCCCAGCACGGGGAAGGGGGGGGCCAGCAGCGTGCAAGGGAACACGGGGAACATGGCCTCGGCCACGGTGGGGCCCCCGGGGCTCAGCGGGGGCCGGGGGCGCGGGCCGCGCGGGGCCCGGGCTCGGGGCGCCGCCCCCGGCCGGCCGGGCTGGGCCGCGCCGAACGCATGGCCCGCGGGCCGCCCCGCCGCCCGCGCACCCCGGCCGGCGGGAGGGAGGGAGGGAAGGAGGGCGCCTTGCGGGCCGCGGAGCGCGGCGGCGACGGCGGCGGCGACGCCCCCTGGGTGGGGGCGGGAGGCCCCGCGGGGCCGGGGGCCGGGGCCGGGGGCGGGGGCCCGGCGGCGGCGGCGGCGGCGGCGGCGGCGGTTGGAGCCTGGCGGGGCGGGGTGGGGGGAGCGAGGGAGCAGCCTCGGCCCCCGCCGCGCGCGCGCCCAGCCGGCGCCTCGGGGAGGGCGGGGGAGGGCGCGAGGGAGGGAGGGGGACAGCTGCGCGCGCACCGGGCGCGCGGAGGGGGGGTGGGACGGGAGGGAGGGCGGGCAGGAGGGGGTGTGGGAAGGGGGCGGGGGGGCGGGGGGAGGGGGTTGTTACCTGGAAGATGAAGCTGCTCCAGTTGCTGGGATCCATGGCGAAGGGAGGGAGGGAGGTGGCTCGCGCTCACCCTGGGGCGGGAGGAGGAGGAGGCGGCAGTGGGGGAGGGGGAACCTGGGGAGGAGGCGCGCGGGGCGGGCGGGAGGGGGGAGGAGGAGAAGGGTGGGGGGAGCGGAGCACACTGCGCGCGGGGAGGGCGGGCGGGGGGCGCGAGGACACACAAGAGGCTGGAGCGGGCGCGAGCGCGAGCGCGCGCGAGGCCAGCGGGAGGGGGGAGGCTCGGGAGGGACTCTGGCGGGAGGAGGGACGGGGGAGCCACCCGGCAGCCCAAGTCGCCCCAAGCGCGAGACCCCTGAGACGGCTGCTGATTGGCTGACGATGGTGCAGGTGGTGGGCGCGCGGGAGACAGGGCGGCTTCTCTTACCCCCCTTCAACGATTCCACCCCCCCCCCGCCTCCCTCCGCCAGCGGCCGTTATTTCGCGCGCACGCGCACACAGCACCGCTGTCGTTGCTGAGCGGGAGAACAGGGGAGCGCGCGCCGGGGTACGGATGGGGCGGAGCCAACTTAGGCGCGCGCCCGTCTAACGGTCGGCATCCTCCGGCTTTCGCTTAAGCTTTTTGTTTCTTTTCGGCCACCGTCCACTCCCCTCCTCATTCCAGCGGTTTATTTACAAGCCCGTCCTGGTTCGTGGCTTCCTGAAGATGGCGTCCAAAGAAGTTTGCCGGCACCGCTCCCGTCCGACCCCAAGGGCAATTATACCTCAGCCCCCCTCCCCCCAAAAAACCAGGCTGAAGCACGGGAGGAAAAGCTGTATTTACAACACGCGGTGATACAAGGACTTAAAATTATATATATATATATATATATATAAAAGGCAGCGTGAGGAGTTGGCTGTCAGGAGGGACCACAGCGCTGGCCGGCGGCCAGGCCCAGGATGTTCGCCTGCAACACAGGAAAGAAGGGGACAGCAACGTTAGCGCCTAGGGGCAGAGCAGAGGCCAGGGAGAGCGCGCGCGCGCGCGCGCGTGTGTGTGTGTGTGTGTGTGTGTGTGTGTGTGTGTGTGTGTCCACGCATGCCAGATTACCTTCAGGAACGACTCCATCTGTTTCCCGGAGATGCCCTCCACGCGTTCCAGGTCCTCCACCTGGCAGGGCAATAGCGATGGCGAAAGAGGCCTGGGAGCCACTGCCCACCTTGCCCCACCCCCAACCCGGCTGCCCACCCAGGGTTGTTACCTGAGTAAAGGGGCCATGGAGCTCCCTCCAGCCCACGATGAGCTGGGCCTTCTTCTGGCCAATGCGCTGCAGGCTGCGCAGATCCCGAGCTGAGCCTTCGTTCAGCAGATCAAGTATTTTTTGGCGCCCATGGGCCAGCAGCTCTGGGCTGATCTGTAGCTCCCAGCAGTCCTCAGCCTTCTCCTGGGTCTCTGAGGCATCCAAGGACTCCAGCTATGAGGCAAGGGGAGGTGAGTGACAGAAACAGCAGCAAAGCGCTTTGGACTCTGCCAAGACTAGGAGCCTAGCAGCAGCTACCTCCCCGCCCTCTCCAGCCTCTTCTCTCCAGTCAAGTGTCTGACCAAAAATCCTTCCCTAATCTACTTCTTATTTTAGTCAATTTTTAAGAATGGTGATACCAGCACCTTTCTCAGAATTCTGGTGATCCAATGAAATTAGTGAATGTAAAGCACAAAGCAAGAATGATCTTTCCTTTACTGCTGGAAGAATGCATGGGAGAAAGCCATAAATAAACACCTGCTCATAGTCCTCTCTGTTTGTGGGTAGTTCTAGTGGTGTTTCATTTTGGGCACAGGAGCTTGTGTGTGTTTGAGTTTCTTGCGACCTTAGGTCATATTCCTGTAAGTGGGCTCTTAAGTATGTAGAGGGCAGGAGCAAGGCTACACATAATCAGCAGCTGAATGAGGGAGGGAACCATTCAGAAGGAAAAAAACCTGCCACCTGTCAACCAATATGATAGGGACATCAACATTGTTGCATTTCACTCTTAACTGCCTTAACAGGTACCATCACCACACACAGGGTAAACAAGCTGGAAGGTATCAGCCAGGATGTATAATTTCAAGGCCAGTGCTCTGCCCCCTACAGCTCACTCCCCTTTACCTCTGTTAGATTTGATGTGCATCCTAAACCTCCAGCTAGTCTCACCTTTCTCTTCTGGCCTTTCTTCTTTAGGACATGGATCTCAGCACTTGGGGATGCTGCCTGTTCCTGAACTGAAAATAGGAATTGTGAATTGGAATCAGGGCAGAGGCCACTTCCCCCCCTCTGCTGGAAGCCACCAGGTTCTCCCATCTGATTGCCCAGTTCTCTTCCACCCTGGTTAACCATTTGTTGGGTTACCACATGACCTTATTTCTGTATTGGAAAGTAACCTCAGTTAGTCTTATATTATCACACTAACCTCTCAACCCAATGTACTAAACACCTGAAGGCAAAGCACCCAGCACTGCTTCAGATCCTCCCCAGCCCTCCCTGAGGCCAGTATATGCTGGAAAGACATGAATGACATGGTGGCTACTCCTTCCTTATGGGATTGCAGTTATCTGGCCCCTAGATCCAACTTACTGAGTTGTAGGGGCATCACCACAGCCTTTTTCAGGGGTTTTGCTGTTGTGACTGTGCGACGGGGAAGGGGTCGGAGCATTGTGAGAGAGCAGTTCTCCTTCTCCTTTGCGTCTGAGGCCTCCTGAGCCAGCACCTTGGCCTCCAGTTCTTTTTGCTTCATCTTAAGCCTCTATTGGAAAGGTTCAGGAAAAGATATGAACCAGACCCCACCCCAGAGCAGCAGATTAGGAAGAGGAGGCAGAAATCGAAAAGAAGAAGCTACCAGGAGACAACTGGGCCTAAAATAATTAATGGCTTTCAAATGATCCAGAGGTGGAACAAGACTGTAAATACTGAAGGGAAGACTGTTCAAATAGGGTCCTCACTTAATGTGAGCTGGGTTTTAGGAAATACAATGTAAAATCTCTTTGGAATATTTTCCTCTTACCTCCTCACATCTCATCAAAGTTGTTTTTTTCAAAGTTCAATCATATTAAGGATATTCAAGCAGAAGTCTAAGAACTTTCAGTTGAGAGTGAAAACTGGACTCTAGTCTAGCCTGAGTGTCCTGCCCTGTCTGGAGATCCTGGGATCACTTCTCAAGGCCATTAAAAACCCTAGCCCAGGGCTAGGGTTGTGGCTCAGTGGTAGAATGCTTGCCTAGCATGTGTGAGGCACCACATAAAAATAAAGGCTTAGAAAATAATTATTAAAACACACACACACACACATTATTATTATCACACACATTAAAAACTTACCTCAATCTCCAAGTCCTTCTCCTCCACTGTCTTAATGAGCACCATCCGCTCCCGCTTTGGGGTATTCAGCAGAGGGGTCCCTTGGGTCCCGTGGGAACCCAGCAGGCGGTCCAGGCTCAGGAGGCGTTCCAGCATGGCTGGATCCATGCTGCTTAGCTTCTGCAGGGGGCTGAGCAGTCAAAGAAGTTATTCCCCATTCTCCCGCCTTTCTCATTACTTTTTCCAGCAACAAGATTCTTCTTGTGGCTTAATTTGGTGTATCTGTGATTCCAGAACCCCGATGTTTAGTTGCTAGACAATCCTGAACAAGTCATCCAGCCTGACTATAATGTTTTCATTAGGCAAAGTAACCTCGAAGAGATGTCAGTTAAGAACAATCATTTAATGAACACTTGAGTGCCAGGTATTAGAGATCTATGACAGTGCCCTGCCCTGGAGGCGCGCTGTCTAATAAGTAAAGAGATCATAATAGGTGACAGCAAGGACTCAGGCGGAAGTCATCTTTAGCAGGGCTATAAGAGCCCCTAAAAACCTCAAATGCCAAGCCTTTATCATGTGGGAAGCAGGAAAGGCCTATCTTCAGTCCTGGCTGAGCACAGAGATGTCTATCACTCATTTCTGCCTGGAATATCACTCCTCATCTGTCACTTCTGACCTGAGTTATCTTTCAAAGTTAGTCTGATGCTGCCTTTCCTATGATGTTCAGATTGATTGTTCATCTTCTTTACTACACTAAGAACTAGCTCATCAAGGACAGAGACTATATCCTGTTCTTAATGTGCAAATGCCTTAGAAGATGAGGATCACAATACATGGGGGCAAACGCTAAAAGTTATTTCTTCCTTCTTTGCTTTCACAGAACAAGCAGCTTACTCTCTGTACTACATACCTGGCATCATACGCTAACTTTCCCATCTTACTTACCCCTTTTGAAAAGTGAGACCTCAGGTCTGACTATGATGTGCTACATCTCTGAGCCTCCCCTTACCAGAGTATCTATTTGGGAGACAACCTTCCTGTTCATATAATACACTTGTGTAAGTTTCTCTAAGTCTATGCACATAGGGGAGGGAAATGCTAACATATAGCTTGGGAAAGACAAGATTGAGAGATGGGACTGTGAATAAGCAAGCACCTTTTGTGTGTAGCATCTTCCTCAACTATAACTGCTCCCTGAGGTGTGCAGTGATCCTTGGCATTCTTAGGTCACCTCTGTTCAGTAGTCTTAGCACTTACATAGAGAGGCTCTATTTGGGCTAGGGGTCAAAATGAGACAAAGTGGCTCCTTGGGATCAGGAAAGGTTAAGTGTCAGAGAGAATCCAAGGCCACTGAACAGAAGTGATCTCAGAATTGGTATATATTGGGCATGAGATAGGACAATCAGAAATGGGGAGGGTAGATAGCAACTAGTTCCCTAGAGAGTTCTGGAGAGGCTTGCCCCTAACACACAGACTGAGAAGTCTCAGGCATCTGTCTTCATCTTATCTCCTTTGCTTTGCTCTCATTCTCTGAACCTGAAAAATCTCATTGATTATTCTTGAACAAAAAGTAAAACTGCTCATCCTTCAAACAGTTGCCCCCAAATTTGAAGTTTTGCTGCAGTCATGTAAAGGGACTGGAAAATGGAAAGGGAGGGGGCCATAAGCCCAAGAAAGAGGCTTCTGTAGTTCCCAAGGCAGTGGCGCCAAGAATAGACTGATCTGAGCACTTCAGTATTTCAACAGAGTATGATTTTGTGTGAATTCACTGGGAGAGGAACAAGTTCACAGCTATCTTTGCTCAAGGATCTGACAAGATAAACCCACTGCTATTCTGCAGCTGAGACCCAGCAGGAATGGGGGTACATCCAAGGGCATCACTTCTCACCTGAGTTTCTGGGAGGCAGAGACTGGAGCTACTGTGGGCTCAGGGCTTCTAATCTCCTCTTCCTCAGAACCTTGGGCTTGCTTCACCTCTGATGGGCCTAGCAGTTCTTTCTGAGACGGCTTAACAGGTGCCAAGACTAAAAGATTGGGGCAAGGTGTAAGAGGGGTGAAGTGTGGCTTCAGCAAACTTCCCTACTTGTCCAGACCTGGCCTTTCCACTCTTGCATCCTCTAGTCCTCACCATGAAGCTGTAGGCTCTCATTGGTGAAAGGCCGGTTGATGACCTCCTTGGACCTAGCAGCAAAGTTGAGTGCAGAGACTGTATCTAGGTAGAAGCGTCTCTCAGGGGCAATGTTGGCAATGAGTATGCTGTGGGCAGAGCCACCCAGAGAGTCCTGACAGATGGGGATTAGAGTAGATGGGTCAGAATCTTAGCCTTCCCGTTCCTTTACTACTATTCCCCCAAACCCCAGCAGGCCTAAGAACCTCCTTTCCTGGTCCCTTCTGGGCCTGACCTGCAACAGGCGAGTAAGCTTGCTGTCCCGGTAGGGTACACGAGGAAGGCCCTGGTTCAGCGCATCCACCACCTTGCCCAGTACAAACAGGGAGGTGTTGATGGCTCCACTCTCTTTGAGCCGTAGACCCTGGTTGCCTGTGCGCCGGTTGTCCTCTGAGCCAGCCAAATCAATCAGATAGAGTTTTCCCTCCCGCTGCCGAAATGGGGCCAAACGTTCCCTCTGATCCACCTGAAGGGGAAGAGTAAGGGCAGTAAGCTTAGCTCAGGCTTCCAGAGCTTCCCAGGGCCTCCCCTTTGTCAATGGCTCTCACCTTAACCAGGAGCACGGCATGACTGCGGGAAGAACGCTGGTTGAGACGGGTGGCTCCTACAGTCCGATTTCTACTGGCTGGCAGGAAGTGCCGCTCAAAATCAGCAAAGCTAGTGATGGGTTTCTGTGTGAGGCCTGGAATCAGGATGTTTCCTCTACAGTCTTCTCGGATCACCAGGTCTCCTGATGCAGGGTCCAAGAGGTCTAATACCTGAGGAGTAATAGGTAGGGCCAATTCTCCATGCATAGGCTGCTTATTTCTTGGGGACCAGTCTCCTTTTCTCTGGTGGATTCTCAAAGTTATGTAATCTGCTACTCTGACCAGAGTAGAGCTTCACATTCTAGAACCCTGTCTTGGCTCTTTGTTTCTTCCCTCCCCAATCAGCGACAAGCCTCACCTTTTCCTGGTAGATCTCTAAGTAGGACATAGTAACAGAGAGGGCCCATGGCCGGCCCTCAGCACCTTCCTCCCTTGTCATCTGTAGGAGGTCCACGAGAGCCCGGGGAATCACTCCAGGTAGCTCTGGGCTACCCAGCATTGTGTGAGTCTTCCCTGGGGAAAGAGTGGAGGAAGCTAAGAGGTTTCCCTGTTTCCTTAGCCCTTTCTGTCCCACAGCTGTTCCCCTCTGGCTCCCTCACCTGCCCCAGTAGGTCCATAGGCAAGCACACTGGCATTCTGTCCTTCTAGCAAGTGCCTCAGGATGGGCTGCACTGAGCCTGCATAGATGTCCTGCTGAGAGCTCTTCTCCCCATAGAAGGCATCAAATCTGTAGGCAGGAAGAAAGAAGTTTTAACAGGGTGTTCTGATAACACCCAGAATCAGAGCATACTGATTTTAGATTAAAAAGAAAATCTGTCCCTTTTTTTTTTTTTTTTTTTTAGCTCAAAGACCTTAAAAGCATCCACTGAAGAGCTCCTGTTTCCCAGTCTTTGTATTGGGTTAGAAAAACTGAAATAAATCTGATGTTGCTACTCTTGGGATTTTGCAATCTAGTGGGATAGACAAATACCCATACTTTGCTATGAAACAGAAAACAAAAATCATACTGGGAGTTAATTAATTCTACTGAAGGAAGATTTTGCCAGAAGAGAAAGAAATTTGCCGGGCATAGTGGCACAGGTTTGTAATCCCAGCAGCTTGGGAAGCTAAGGCAGGAGACCACAGTTTCAAAGTCAGCCTCAGCAACTTAACAGGGCTGTAAGCAATCTGGTAAGACCATGTCCCAAAATTTTAAAAAATTGGAGCTGGGTATGTAGCTCAGTAGTAGCCTAGCATGCATGAGGTTCTAAGTTCAATCCCCAGCACCACCACCACCACCAAAAAAAAAAAAAAAAAAATTTTTAAAGGGATGGGGATATGGCTCAGTGGTTGAACACTCTTGGGTCTAAACCCTGGTACAAAAATAAATAAATAAATTTAAGTATAAAGAGTAGCACATAGACAAGACATGATGTGAAAGGGCTCAGCTTCCCATCTGTTTCATATGGCAGCACATATAGAATAGTATTTGTAGGGGTACTTAAGAGGATGCTGTTTAGGAATTGACTGAACACACACCTGCAGCTCATTTACTTGCCCTGGCAGAGAGGCTATGGCTTAGACTACTTACATTTAGTACATATTGACAGGATATGCCTGTAAAGAAACTTAAGCCAAATTATTAAGGGCCTAGAATAGGAGACAGCAAACTTCTGTAAAGAGCCAGACAATAAATATTTCAGACTTTATGGGCCATTGTTGAGAGCCACAGCCGAAGGGGCCCCAGCAAACTTCCAGCTGCCAGCAGCTGGAAGTTTGCTGGCAGCTGGAAGTTTGCTGGGGCCCCTTCGGCTGTGGCTCTCAACAGGCCATGTGGTTCCTTTGACAACTACTTAACTCTGTGACTGTTGTCCAAAGCAACTAGGACAATATGTAAATAAGTGATAAAACTTTACATAAAGACTCCTTGTCAGATTTGACCTATAGGCTTACCACCCCTACAGGCCAAGGAGTTTGAACTTTGAATCCCCAATGGAATTTTCAAGTAGTTGCCTTTATGAGTTCCATTTCCCAAATCTGCGTGATCCTCTCTGATACTGCCCAGCTGTACCTTGGTTGGCCTATATTCTCATATCCTCATATCCCCCAAACCCTACTCAAGGATCCCCTGCTCCCCTTTGCTATTTCTTCCTCCATTTGTGCCAGTTTCCCCTATAAGAATGAATAGTAATATATGTCAGATTCACCCTCCAGTCTTTCCCCCAGAGTCTTTCCCTGTTAGCATGTGCATCCATGAACATTTCCTGAATAAACAAATAAAGGTTTAGAGAACAAAGCTGTGCTGAGGAGGGAGCAGGATCCTGGGGAGACAGATCTAAGAAACTGACTAGGAAAGTGATATGATCAGGCCTAGGAGAGGAAGGAGGAGTAGCCTGAACCTTACTGGTATTTTAGAGTCTCTTGGTAGTTCCTCCAGTTGGCAACCTCAAGAGAGCAGCTATCTATGCCTCGCACACAGGGGGATTCACTTGTTCCAGATGTTCCATCCACAAATGGCCGCAGCCGCACAGCCACCCTTACTCGAGCTGGAGGTGGGCGCCGGCCAGACCCCATCTTGCTTAGCCGACAGCGACCAGCTCCTGGAGAAGAGAAGGTATAAACATAAAGTATGGTGGTAACACAGAGGAAACAGAGACCAACTTTGCTGGGGACCACAGCTCACTTAGAGGAAAACTCTTTCCATGCTTGGTTGTGCTGTGGGTGCCCCCCACCCCCACAAGCTCAGGCCCAGTTCCTGCCCTCTCTACAAGTTCACTGAGGTGCAGAGGCTTCTCAAACTATACTGTGTATATAAATAACCCATATTTCCTTGTTAAAATTCAAATTTGGCTTCAGTCCATAAGGTGATGCCTGAGATTTTGCATTTCTTTTTCTTTTTTTCTGAGGTGCTGGGGATCAAACCTGAGATTTTACATTTCTTAAGAAATTCCTAGGCACTCTTGCTGTTGGGGCTAATGTTGAATTGTCAAGGTGTAGTAGACTAGTACTTCACAGGGTTGTTCTAAAGAATAAAACACTTAATATCCAGGCTGGGGATATAGCTCAGTACCTCCAGTAATTGAAAATTTAAAAAGAAGAAGAAAAAAAGAAACAAACAAATTTGACATCTGAGCCCACCTAAAAACAGTTTTAAGTTCTCTGTAATTTTTTTTTTTATGGTATTGAGGATTTAACCCAGAGGTACATTATCGTTGAGCTATATCCCCAGCCCTTTTTATCTTTTGAGACAGGTCTCAGTAAGTTGCTGAGGCTGGCCTTGAACTTGAAATCCTCCTGCCTTAACCTCTCCAGCTGCTAGGATTACAGGCGTGTGACACTGCATCCATCTGGGTCTCTATTTCTTATCTGAGGTTATAATATACTCACATGTCTCCCTAAACTATTAATAGAGGTTTTCTCCTGGTGGATGATTATGTGGGTTTATTTATTTTTTTTTTAATGGTACTTACTTCTGTAATGCTGTATCACTGACATTTAAAAAAAAAACAAAACAACATTGTGAATGTCTTTCTTTGGAAGGAATCAGGTTGAAGAGCAGCCCCTAGTCCCCTTCTGTCCTAGTTTAGTCTGAAAAAGGTACTGATATTAATTCTTCTCTCTCATAAGCTTTTCATCACTTGCTTCTGATGATTAAATCTAAGTTATTTGAGGAAAAAATAGCAATTATGAATTATTTTTATCATTAGAAAACACAGTGACAAATCTGAAGAGGGTATTACTCTATTTTATGTTGGAGGATAGAATAGTAAAGCTGATAGCTAGTAGCAGAATTCAAACCTAGATCTCTTCACTCCCAAAATTCTGTTTTTAACAAGGATGCCATATTGCCTCCTTTTTATGTACTACCATGGAAAGCTCTTGTCAATTCTGAATTTCTCTTCCTTCCTGGTGGTAGCAGCTGGTTGCCCAGAGCCAGAGGCCCCTAAGAAGGCAAAAGAATGGTTGGTGTATGCAGTCATCATTACCCCTGGAAAAAATTTTATACATAAGTAAGGCATGCCCATAAGTAGATGGCCTGTTTGAAAAACTAGCCTTCTGTTTCTTCATCTGACAAATGGGGTCAGTAACTCTGTTTCCACTGCATGGTTCACAAAGCACTTGGCTATCTAGTCCTCGTTTGTTCCTTGTGGCAATCCTGAAAGTCGAGAGGCAACAGGTAAAAACCTTCAATTGCATGTGTGCAGATACAAAATTGAGGTGCAAAGAGCTTTGCTGTCTTGTCAAAAATGTGTGCAATAGCCTCCTGTGTGATTTTTTTGAGAGAATAGAGAAAGAAAAGATACACTTAGGGAAGCTCAGTGATCCATATAAGAAGAAGTCAAGTCTACAATGAGGAAGAGTATAGATTTTGGTCAGACAGCTGTGTTTAAATTCTAGTTCTGGTCAGGCGCAGTGGCATATGCCTATAATCCCAGCTACTCAGAAGACTGAGACAAGAAGATCACAAACTTGAGGATAGCCTGGTGAAACTTGGTGAGACTCTGTCTCAAAATAAAAACAGCTGGGGATATAGCTCAGTGGTAGAGTACTCCTGAGCTCAATCACCAATACCATTAAGAAAACTAACAAGAAAACAGAGGTGGGGGGTGTAAGGATTTTATGAGAATTTAAAGGAATAATTGCAAAATGCCAGTACAGTGATTAGCATGTAGTCAGGAGATTCATTATTCAAGGTACAATGGCCTGGGTTCAACAAATTGAATAACCTAGGGAGACAATTTTTCATTTCTGTGCCTCAATTTCCTTAATCATATAATGAGAATAAATTAAAAATACCTATTCATGGGTTGTTAGGGGAGAAAGTAATTCATGACAGTGCTTAAAACAACATCTGGTACTTGATTAAAAAAAAAAAAAAAAAAAAACAAACCAGTTTTTGAGGCTGGGGCTATAGTTCAGTGGTAGAGTGCTTGCCTCCCACATTTGAGGCACTGGGTTTGATCCTCAGAGGGAGGGAGGGAGGGGAGGGGAGGGAGGGAGGAAGGAGTTGTGTCAATCTACAACTAAAATAATAATAATTTTTAAAAAAAGCTCAGTTGTCTTATTTTATATTCATCCCCCATTCCCATTTTCCAAATAAGGAAACCTCAGAATAGAGAGGTTAATATATTTGCCCATGTTCAACAGCTAGCAAGTAACAGCTTCAAATGAAAGTCTAACTTCAAAGTCTATATGTGAATCCCTTCTCAGTCCCTTCCATCTTTGTATCCCTGTGGGACTTTGAGTCAGAGGCAAGTTCTACCTATTAGCTGTGTCATCTTGGAAAGGTTACTTAACCACCCCAAAGTTCAGTTTCTCTTTATAAAAATAATAACAGTAACTATCCACATAAGATTGATTCAAAGTAAAAATGTACATGTTTAGCAAAGTGCCTAGCAGTCAAGTACTCAATAAAAGTTAGCTGTCATTATTATAATTATTATATGTTCTTGCTACTCACACTTCAACCCCTTCAACTTGCTTCTGCCCTTATTATTCAGCAGTGTCACCAATACCTCTCTACCACAAGATACAGTAGACACCTTCAGTCCCAATCCGATCTGACTGCCCAGCAGTATTCAATATTCTTTGGAGACACACTATTCTCTCACCATGCCATCCACTCCTCTGGTTTTCTTACTACCTCTTAGTTCACTCCTTGGCCATTCTTAAATATTTATCCTCTCTCTAGACCACGGTCTCTCATCATTGGCATTATGGGCTAGATAATTCTTTGCTATGTAGCTGTCGGGTTTTCCCCTGCTCTCCTTTCTATTCCTGATGCCTGGCACAGAATAGGTTCTCGGGAGCACTTGCTGAAGAAATTAAGATTGGATGATCTGGCTTGTTCATTTCACATTTTCATCATTAAAATGTCTCACTGCTATCCCTGCCCCAGAGCTCACAATCTAGGGGTGAAGGCGAGGCACATGTTAAGAACTGCTTACAGTACAAGAATCTCTCTCATCATAAAAACAACTCTGAGATTGGTTGATGCTAGTACTTCTTTTAATTTTCTCCTCTCCTACAATTCCCAAGTTTCATCAACTTAACTCTTCTCTCCTTTATGCATGAGGAGACTGAGCCAAAAGAATGTCTTTGGCCTTCTTTACATTACAAATAATACTTGGTGCTCTTTTCTTATAAATACTTAGCAAACTACTATTCAACCTTTGACACTCACTTCAAATATCACATCACATCTTTAGTGGGGCACCTGTAATCCCTTATATTTAGGAGGCTGAGGCAGAAGGATTACAGGTTTGAAGCCAGCCTGGGCAGCTTAGACCCTGCCTCAAAAACAAATTAAAAAATAAAACCAATAAAACAAAAAAGGCTGTAAATGTAGCTCAGTGGTAGAGCACTTACTTAGCATGTTCAAGGCCCTGGATTCTATCCCCAGTACTGCCCTCCCCCCCAAAACTAAACTCTTTAATGAAGCCCTCCCAGAACAGAATACCCAAGGGTTTATTACAGATTCCACACTATCTGTAGCAGTTTATACATATCTGTCATAGTACATCTGTTCATGTTACTACTGAAACAGACTGAAAGCTCTCTAGGGAAAAAGCAATTCAAGTATTTTAATATCTATTAAGTATCAGACACAATAGGTTTAAGAAGGGTGAAGGGAAGTATTGCCCAGACAGGAACAGCAGGTACTTGGGCATAATGGTTAGAGGCAGAGACCCTAGAATCAAATTGCCTGAGTGTGAATTCAGACCCCACCCACACTTACTAGTTTTGTTAACTCTGAGCAAGTCATTTAACCCACTTATGCTGCAGTTTCCTCATGTCAGAAACAAGGACAAAAACAGTAACACTGTGTGAGCATTAAATGGTTCATCACCATAAAATGCTTACAACTGTGCCTGGAGCACAGCAACAGCAACCTGTGTTAGACACTCTCCTAAATACCTTTGCTTCCCTGACAAACTGTAAGAAGCTCAAATAATTTGCTCTAGTATCCACCATAATCACGGATCAGAAGAGAGGAGAGGAACATGTAAACAAATACTTGTATACAGTCTTTCAACCCTAAAACAGCATTCACGCTGGGCGCGGTGGTGCACGCCTGTAATCCCAGCAGCTTGGGAGGCTGCGACAGGAGGATCGCGAGATCAAAGCCAGCCTCAACAAAAGTGAGGCGCTGAACAGCTCTCTAAATAAATACAAAATAGGGCTAGCATGTGGCTCTGCAGTCAAGTACCTCCGAGTTCAATCCCCGGTCCCCCCAAAAAACAAAACAAAAACCGCATTCACTTCCAGGATTAGAGGGAAAGGAAACAGTCTTTTAATTCCCTTTTCTGTGATCTCGGCTCATTTTGTGCTGTTAACTCACAACTAGCTGCAGCCTGGTGCGAACCTCAACCAGCTCGCCTGCATCTCCAGGGATCTCTCTGCACCCAAACACCATGTCCTGCACAGAAACGTTCTCCTCAGACGACCAACCCCTTCCTTCTTGTCCTTACGATCAGAGCGTTAGCCACTTTTCCCTTGATTACTCAAGTAACCCCCAAGGATGGGGTCGTTGTTCCTATTTTTCAGACAAAGAAGTTGAAGCTCAAAAAAGGAAAAATGCTCCAGGTTCAAACCCAAGCAGTTAGGTCTAGGTCGGGTCTCAACCTGAGTCTACTGACCCGAGCCGTAAGCAGGAAGCAGAGAGGACCAGGGCCTGACGCTCGCAACCCCCACTCCCGCCTTCTCTCTCTCCCGGTCCCTGCGCCATCAAGGACTCTTCCTGGCAATCCAGGGAGCCCAAGCCAGACTTTGACGCATTACCCCATAAAGCCCCAGACCTTGTCGGGTCTGTATACCTGAGGTAGCCGCCGCCATCTCGCGTCGCCTCAGCAGCAAGGAGGACCCAGCAACCATTCCACTCCCTCCTTCGGGCCCGCCTCTCCCATTCGAATTGCCCGATGACCCGCCCCTCTCCCAGGATCCACCAATCACGGCTACTCGCTGCCGGAAGCCTCTGCCTGTGGTTAGTAACTAATCCGCCTTCTAGAGCTGGTCTGCGGGTCCCGCAAGTAAAAGTTTCCCCTGGCGGAGGACGCATGCGCACGCACATCGGCCGCGCAGCCGTTAACTTCGGGCATGCGCTCAGGTGCGAACCCGGATGCAAAAGGCATAGATGACAGTGGCTGATGCCGGTACTGGGAACCGAGCCCGGCACCACCTTCAGGCTTTCAGGTTTCCAGGCATAGATTTGTGTGAGTATTTTCTTCTCATTTTTTTCCCTCCTCAGCTACGAATCAAGTAGACAGTGATCCAAGGCACTTGATCGATTCCTCCAGAAATGTCCTTGTGCTGAATACAATTTTCACTATTTTAGTGGCAGAGAGGTGATTATAGGTAAGAAAGGGAAACAGGACAATTCTGTAAACGATGGCAGTGATCCTCACTTTGTACATTTTATTGCCTCAGAAGTTGTTTCACACGTCTGTGTGGTGGGGGTGGTTTTGTTAATTGTGGGAGTTAAGGGTGCCGCAATATCCAGTCTGCAGATCTGGACCACCCTGTGTTCTGGACAGTCACATTGTATTCATCTCTTGCTGATCCGAAGGCCACTGTATGTCCCCTTGTGTCACATGTCTGAGCTGAGGAGACCAGCTCAATGGAGATGAGCTCGATGTCCTTATTTTAGAAGTTGGCACATCGAAGTGAACTTTATGTAAATCTTTACTTGTTACTCCCAAAATGTATCCTTAGGGGTTCAACAGTCTTAAGTAGTTTTCCATCTCTTCTGGAAGCTTATCCAGGGATGACCATCCCATCAAAAATACCGTTTAGGGATGAGGATATAGCTTAGTTGCTAGAGTGCTTGTCTCACATACACAAAGCCCTGGGTTCAATCCCCAGCTCTGGGGGAAAAAAAAAAAATATATATATATATATATATATATATATATATATATATATATATATATATATATATATATATATATAGTTCAAAGTGAACAGGAAAATTACCCAAAACAGATCCAGTGGGCCACAGGAGAAGAGAAGTGGAAGTCCTCACACCGAGATAGTGGTCATTTCGGCTTCTGAAACCAGGCTCCCCACCACAAGCTTCCTGCCCTATCCTAGCTGCTGTTCTGGCTTGAACAACCCCTACTTGCATACCTACCTATTAGAAGCCAGGACCACTTTGTAACCTGATCTCCTGCACTGCCTTATCTCCTTGTAACCTGATCTCCTGCACTGTGCTGTAACCCCACTGTTTGGGTCCCAGAATTTTCAAGTGTGAGCTCATCTGTGTCCGCTAGCATAAATAAACCCAAGTTCTCCTACTTCAAGTGTCACTTGGTTTCTTGTCAGTCTATTTTTCCACATTTCTTGAGGCACCAGCAAGATTCCAACCATTCTGATTCCTCGAGCCAACAGCCAGTGGCTGGACTGCACTGAGTAGGAAGGGACTCATTAGGTGGTGCACCACCCATAGGTATTCTAGTTCCTTCTTCACCCTGGAGTGCCAACCCTCCAGGCAGCCTTGCCCCAACCAGACTCCAACGGCAACTCCAAGAAGAAATCTACCAACTCACCTGGCAACTCGTCTGGACCCAGTAAGACCCTAGAAAAGTCAGTCCCCAGTCAGGTCCCATCCCACTGGGCGGAAGGGGAGCTTGATCAGTCCCCAAAAGAAACTCTACAGGTCAGGGACCTCCCAAAGTGGGGAGGAAATCCAATAACCTTTGATGTGTGAATGTGTGGATGAGCGATCTGATTTGCTGGCATCTCAGATTTGAGTTTGTTGCTCCATGGCAGAAAGCTACAGAGTCTGAATGGGTCTGTTCTGCAGTTCCACGGTGGCCCTCATGTAGCTTAAGGTGGCATCTGGGCAACCGGATCCAGAGTCATGAGGCTGACCCCACCATTGATTCTAAGAGGCACCTAAGTTCTTTTTGAAGGCAGCCAGGCAGACATCTGGTTGGTCTCTTCTCTTGAAGGGGCACCCTCCCTTGTTTGTCTTTGTATCACCAATTCAAAGAGGGGAACACATAGGGTGGGAAATAGAGAGCACTACCTGACTACCATGGGTGGAAGTTCCTTGAAACCTTAGACTTAAAAATTTCAAGAAGGGATTCTCAGGAGACTATGGGATCAAATGTCTCCAGGAAAGTTGCACACACTGTGCAAATTGGAATGGCCCTATGAAGAAGTACTGTTAGGGCGGTCTATCAGGTTGTAATAGGGATCCCCAGATACCCAAATCAGTTCCACTGTATCCTGGCTTCAGATAGCCCAAAGCCTGCCTCCTTGGGTCTGATGTGCTAACAAAAAGGGACAAAGCAGCTTTTTTTTTTTAACCTGCAAATGCCATGATTTTATTCTCTTTTAATGCTGAGTAATATTCCATTATGTATATATATACTACACTTTCTTTTTTTAATTTTAATTTGTTATATATGACAACAGAATGCATTAAAATTCATATCACACATATAGAGCACAATTTTTCTTATCTCTGGTTGTACGGGCAAAGCAATTTTTGTGGCCCAGGTAAAGAATCCCAAAGACCATGAGCTGATCAAGCTTGTTTTGCAAGAGGACCCAGAGGATGAGCCAGCTGTGCTGCCCCCCAAACGCTCCTAGCATGCTGCCACCATCGAGGCAACCAACACTGCATCTCCCAGACACCCTGCTGCCTTCAGTGAGTCCCCCTCAACCTTTTCAGCAGCCTCCCAGTCCAGACAGCACCCCAAGCTCTCCTCTGGCCTGGAGGCCAAGTCCACAGCCCATGAGGCAATGCCATTGTTCATCCCAAGCACCATCCCCTTTGACTGTGACCCTCAAGATGCCACTCCAGGAAATGCAGGGGCTACCACAGATAAATGGGACAGACAGCATTATCCAGCCCAGGTGCTCTATCCTGTATTACCAATCTTTTAGTACCACAGATCTCCTAAACTGGAGACCCTACACACCATCCTATTCAGAGAAGCCCCAAGCCATGATCAGCCTCCCAGAGACCATATTTCAGAACTACCAAGCTACTTGGCATGATTGCCACCAGATCCTTCCATATTTCAACATGGAAGAGTGACAATGAATCTTGACAGATGTTCACAGCTGGCTCCAAGGGGAAAGCCCCAGCAGGAACCCTAGATGCAGAAGCTTGGGCAACTGAGGCATCCCTGATGCTTGGCCTGCCTGGGACTTCATTATAGTGGATGGACAAGGAGCCCTCAGTCAGTACTGTGGTGCCCTCCTACAGGCTTGGCAGGAGCTAAAAAGCCAATAACACGTTCAAAACCGCAGCAGTTATCCAGAAACCAAAGGAGTCATCAGCTACTTCTACAAGAAACTGCGTGAGGTCTTCTGAATGTACACTCTTTTTGATTCAGAAACATCAGAAAACCAGTGAATGGTCAACATAGTGTTTGTGTGGCCCAACCTACACTGACATTCACTGGAAATTCCAGAAACTTGAGGGCTCGCTGGAATGAATGTCACCGAGCTGATAGAAGAGGCAAACAGGGTCTTTGTGAATCAAGACCATGAGGCTAAATGGGAAGCCAAAAAGAAAATGAAAATCAAGGTATCTTTATTGGCTGCAGCTCTAGCAAAATCTGACCAGGTAGTCAGCCCCACCATGAAAGGGGGGACCCAATAGAAGAGCCCTGCTCTGACAAGACCACTGAGCCTATTGCAAGGAGACTGGCCACTGAAAGAATGAATGTCCTCATCATAAGGGACCAATATAAGGACCCAACAAGACTGCTCAGGGAAGAAGACAAAAATGGCAACCTAAACCAGAAACTAGAACCTCATTGGTCTGGCCAGAATCAAGGCAGACTAGGGAAAACCAGGCTCCTTACTACAGAGCCCCTGAGAACCCACAGTCAAAATGAAGGTGGGTAGCCAGTTAGTGACTTTCGTGGTTGATTCAGTCACTGAACACTCCATGGTCACTGTACCTGTGGCCCTACTCAGCACAGTAGTCGGTACCACCGGCACCTAAATTACCCAGCAGTTGTGTGAATCCTGGATATGCCAGCTAGGAGGACACATGGTGACTCACAAATTCTTGTACCTACCAGAATGCCCAATTCTCCTGCTGGGAAGAGACATACTAACAAAGCTCAGAGCCCAAATCACCTTCACCCAGGGAGGGCTCACAAGTCTTACATTGAGGGAACCAAACATCCTTATCATGGCAGGATTGTACCTATAGAAGATGAATAGCAGCTTTACCTCCAGGAGAGGGGGAACCTGATGAAGCCCACCTGCCTGTTGGAGGAGTTTCCTGATGTCTGGGCTGAGAAAGGGCCCCCAGCTTGGCTCACAACCATGGACCCATAATGGTAGATCTCAAACCTGGGGCTCTCCCTGTTAGGCAGAGACAATATCCAGTGCCATGGGAAGTATGTCTGGGGATTCATGCCCACTTGCAGTGGCTTAAGGATGCAGGAATACTGGTTGAATGCCAGTTGCCGTGGAACACCCCACTGCTGCCTGTCAAGAAGGCAGGAAGAAGTGACTACTGACCTGTCCAGGACCTAAGGGCAATCAGCAATGCCTTTATCATGCTGCACCCAGTGGTTCCCAACCCCTATACTCTTCTGAGCCTCCTGCCACCATAAGCAAACTGGTTCACCTGTCTGGACCTAAAAGACACTTTCTTCTGCCTCTACCTGACCCTGGCTAGCTAGCCTCTATTCACTTTCCAGTGGGAATACCCCCAAAGGGGAAAAAAAACCACAAATGACCTGGACTAGACTGCCTCAGAGATTCAAAAACTCACCCACCCTGTTGTGAGAAACCCTAGTAGCAGACCTGTCAACTTTTTTGAAAGAAAACCCAGGCTGTACCTTGTTCCAATATGTGAATGACCTTCTCCTGGCAAGTCCCAACTTTGAGAAATGCTGGGAAGGAACAAAAGCATTGTTAGCCTGCCAGGCAGGCTACAGAGTTTCTTGGAAAAGGGCCCAATGTGCCAGCAAGAGATCCAGTACCTTGGGTTCATCATTTCCGAAGGATGACACACCCTAGGTCCAGAAAGAAAACAGGCCATCTGCTCCATTCCACAACCAAAGACTGAAAAGGATGCCTAAGAATTCTTTGGAGCAGCAGGGTTCTGCCACATCTGGATACCTAGATATTCTAGCCTGGCCAAATCACTCTATGAAGTCACAGCAGGTTCTGAAAAGGACCCTCTGAACTGGAGACAGGACCAAGAAAAGGCTTCCCAAGAGGTAAAGAGAGTGTTTGAATCAGAGTCCTTACCCAAACAATGGGTCCATAGCAGCGGCCTGTGGCCTACCTGTCAAAACACATGGACCCAGTTGCCTCAAGGTGACCACCATGTTTTCAGGCCTTGGCTGCTATGTATGGTAACCTTAATCGAGGAAGTCAAAAAGCACACCCTGGGATAGGATTAATGTTGAGATTTCCCATTCTGTTGTGGCACTAATGAATGGGCAAGGACACACATGGTTAACCTGTTCCAATGTAGCTCATTATCAAGGACTACTATGTGAAAACCCATGAGTCAGGTTTGAAACCATGTGAAATTCAAACCCTGCTGTTGCAGGGAAACAGATGACCAGAAACAGCAAGCAGCACTCAGAGAGAAGAACTCCAAACTTTATTTTACACTGGCGGGCCCAGAGGAAAACAAAACTCCAAATTCTGAGCCCTGGTCCACAGTTTTTCACAATATTTATAGGTTATTTGACATCATCTTAGACCCATCCTATCACTGGGGCTTTCCTCTTTAAAAAAAAAAAAAAAAAAAAACAGTTCCTAATCTATGCAGCTGAAGACCGTATGCAGGGTCTCTAACATAAAGGATGCTTACAGAAACAGATAAGAAAAACAGCTCTTTTCATAGGCATCTGTTACGTTTCAAGACGGAGTAGTCAGATTCCTAGGGCAGTTATTTACAACCCAAAAGGTAGGGGCCCATGATTAATTAGGCTTCCTGGAGAGAGGGGAACAGAACTGACCCCTCCCCAGGTATTGGTTTCTTATTGTAATGTTTTTGTAATTTCATTTCATAACCAGGTCTGGTTTTGCCATCACACTGCTACTTTCCTGCCAACAGACAAAGGGCCTCCAGATCACAACTGTGAGGAAATGATGGATGGAGTTGACTCTAACAGACCAGACTTAATGGATGTCTCCCTCTCAGATTCGGAACTTGAACTCTTTCCAGATGGAAGCAGATTTGTCCAGAGAGGACAATGGAAAGCTGGGTTCACAGTCACTACTGCTAACGACATCACATAGGCTGAAGCCCTGTTGCAAGGATGGTACACATAGCTAGCTCAACTTTGGGCATTGGCCCAGGCATTATGATGGGCAAAAGGGTAACAGTGAACCTCTATACTGATTCAAAGAATGCCTTTGCCACCCTGCACGTGAATGTAGTGATCTACAAGGAAAGAAAGCTACTGACATCAGAAGGAAAAGAGATTAAGAAGAAGGAAGAAAAATCTCCAAATGTTGGATGCAGTCTGGGAGCCATCCCAGGTGCAGGGGCCACGAAAAGGGCTCAGACTGTGTCAGCAGGGGAAATCACCTGGCTGACCGTGGGACAAAGGAGGCTGCAGAGAAACTAAGTTCCCTCAGAGAGCTGAATCGAACCGCCAAGCTCTTGAGGGCCCCAGAGCTGCCTCCTACCCCTAATTATACTAAGGAAGAGGAACAGTGGGCAAAGGAATAAAGGAAGAAGGTAGCTGGTGGAAGCTGCCTGACCAGAGACTCTTTGTCCCCAGTATTGTAGCACATGTGCACAAACTAATACTAAATTAAGCCCCAGGGTACAAACAATAGGAACCAGGCTTTTCAAGGATGTGCAGATAGATTTCACAGAGGTCAAGACCTGTTGGGAATACCAATACCTCCTGGTCCTTGTCTGTACTTATTCAGGGTGGGTTAAAGCTTTTCCTAGATGCACAGAAAAGGCAGAAGTAGTAAAGGCCCTTTCGAGAGAAATTATTCCCAGATACAGGCTTCCACTCTCTATCGGATCAGATAACAGACTGGGCTTCATTGCAGAAATAGACCAAGGCCTGGCTCAGATGTTAAAAATAAAATGGAAACTCCAAGCAGCATATAGACCTTAAAGTTCAGGTAAAGTAGAGCACATGAATTGGATCTTAAAAACCACTTTATCTGCGCTCTGCCAGGAAACTCAGTCCCCCTGAATGGAAATATTACCATTAGCCCTACAAAGAGCATGCTGTACCCCACAACCCTCTGGTTAACCACTCACCCTTTGAGATTCTCTATGGCAGATCCCCCTCTCAGGCTTAGAGGAGACCTCAAGCAGATTGGAAACTTGGAAATGTCTTGACATCTCCAAGCCCTGGGAAAAATCCTACACCATACCTTCCAAGAAGTTTCAGAAAGGACCCCCATCCCCATGGGTAACTGGGCTTATCCCCACCAAACAGGAGACATGATTTGGGTAAAGGATTGGAAAAAGGAGCCATTCCAGCCTACTGGTCCCCATCTGGTAATATAGGCAACTCCCACTTCTGTTAAGGTTGCAGGTGTTACTCCCTGGATCCATCACTCCTGGATGAAGAATGCAATTCCAACAGACCTTAACAATTGGCAAACAGTATGGGACCCAACTACCCCCATCAAATTAAGCACAGAGAATGACCCAGGAATCCACAGCAAATAGAACTCCAGCCCTGCTCTGACCATACTCCAGAGGCTGGTCGGTCAGTGCACAGCAGAAGCTTGAGGATTCACCTATCAAAATATAAATGAACCCCCTCTGTTAACATCTATCCCTTGCTGCTAATAAGCACTGTTGCTATATGCCTTGATGTTGGATTAGATGTCACTGAACCCCAAGATTGGAGCATGGGTCAGAGATTGTGACTAGCCTCCTGCTATCTCCTTAGAACAGGAAGTTGTGCTGCTGTCTGGTTGTCTGTAGCCTGAACACACTCCCCTCCCCATTCCTTTCAGCTATTAATGCTCCTGGATTACACTTTGCCACCTCTCTTTTATGGGTTACTATAACCCTAGCAAACTGATAATGGGAAAAGGGGCTTATGTTGTTACCTATCTTTCCTACTTTGTTATCATAAAATACATACCTCCCTTTCCACACGCTACACGTGCTCCCAGTGCACTGACCCCAGCACTCATTTTACACCCTGCCTCTCCACAGACAACCATGCAGACATAAGGGGACAACTTATGTTTATGGAATGGCTACTGTGGAACTTGGGGAACTACTTGTTACCTTCAACCCAGGCCTCATCATCCCTTCAGTCTCTTGAGTGGGCCCGGACTTGTGCACCCATTCCCCACTCCACCAGAAAGCCCCCTTATTCCATACAAACCACCCACGCCTCTTAATTTGGACTCCCAGTTGGACCTGTTGCTAAGTGCAGCCCCACTCCCTTCTTAATGATACCAACCTTCAGCTGGCCAAGTATTGCTGGTTGTGCTTATCCATGGAAACCCTGCATTACTTAGCCTCGCCAATACTATTGGGAAATTTTACAGCCACAGAGCCCCCTCCAAATTTATCCATGAGGCCCATTTAGGGGCAGTCATACTGATTCAACAGGCTCCTGAATGCATGACAGCAATGAAGGGGCAGAGCCTTCATTGGCAATTTAACTAGGGACCAACGTGACCAAGCATTAACAGGTGGATGGCCCACAAACACAACATGGTGCCACCCCCGACAAGGCCTATTTATTATATGTGAGACAGATGGCTTATGTATGCCTGCCCACTAATTAGACAAGGACCTGCGCTTTGGCCTTCCTTATCCCTCAGATGAACATAGTACTTAATAACCAAACCCTCCCCATAACCTCTGTCGGCTCGTCTACAATCAAAGAGAACCATCCAGTTCATACTGCTGCTAATTGGATTGGGGATAATAGCCAGAATAGGTACAGGCATAGGAGGAATCACTTCATCAACCACCTTTTACTACAAACCATCTAAGGACTTAACATGATACTGAACAAGTGGGCCAAATCATTAGTACCCCTACCTGGCTGAGGCAGTTTTGCAAAATCGGAGGGGAATAGACTTAATAACAGCTGAAAAGAGAGGAATCTGTCTCTTCCTCAATGAAGAATGCTGTTATGCAAACCAATCGGAGATCATCAGGGATATGGCCCAGCAACTATAGGACTGAGTCCCACATAAATGACAGGAATTAGCAGATTCCTGGAGCCACTGGAATAACTTCTGGAGTTGACCTTCATAGCTCCTCCACGTGACTGGCTCCCTCCTCATAATCCTATTGGCACTTTTATTTGGTCCATGTATCCTCAATCTCTTTACCTGCTTTCATCCATGATTAGAGTCAATCAAACTGTAATTATTGGTAACCCAATATAGGCCCCTTGGCCAGGAGGAACCTGATGAAAATGAGGGGTTTCACTCTCCCAACAGGCCTGAGGTTGATGCTGATCCACAAGTTGGAAAAAGCACCAAAAGGGGGGAATGAACAGGAAAAATATCCAAAACAGACCCAGTAGGCCACAGGAGAAGTTATCAGTTAAACCAGAGGTGGGCCTAGAACCAAGTGGAAGTCTCTACACAGAGATAACCGCCATTTTTGCTTCTGTAACCAGATTTACTTACTGCCCTGCCCTAGCCGCTGTTCCCACTTGAGCAACCCAAATTTCAAACCCACTTGTTAGCAGCCAGTACCACCCTTATAACCCAATCTCCTACACCGCCCTATAAAAACCCTGTAAGCTCACTGCTTAGGGCCCAGAATTTTCAAGTGGGAGCCCACTGAGGTTCGCTGAGTGTCACTGAGTTTCTCACCAGTCTGATTTTTCCATAATACTAGAATCAGGCTAATACATAGAATAATATTCCCATGAGCTCAATGAAAGGGGTTGGTTTTATAGACAGGCTAAAGAAAGCAGAAACAGAATGAAGAAGGGATTGGTCATTTCAAAGTTAATTTCCTCTCAAAGTGGTGATAAGAAGATGAAACCATAGGAAAATAACTGATTTGTTAACAAAGTTACTTCAGATTACCCTTTGCAAGAAACTTCCTTATCATGTCAATTGAAACTGGCTATTTAGGAAATTTGAAGTTTTTTCTCTCCTGATTTCTTGGAAGGCTGGCTTCATTTTGGGTGTAGAACTTTAGCACAGATTACTTCATTTTAATTTTTAGTGTGGACTGTTAAGGCTTAGTCCAAAACAGTGGACTTCTATAATTTTTATTATTTATTTATTTAGGTACTGGGGATTGAAGCCAAGGGTGCTTTACCATTGAGCTACATCCCGAGGCCTATTTGTTTTTTATTTTGAGACAGGGTCTCAATAAGTTGCTGAAGATCTTGCTAAATTCCTGAGCTGGCCTTGAACTTTACAATCCTCTCGCCTTAGCCTCCCCAGAAGCTGGGATTATAGGCATACCCTACCCCCTGTGGCTGTAATTTTATTGAACACAATAAATTCCTGTATGCATATGTAAGCATGTCTCCTACTGGTCCTGTTTCTCTGGTAGAATCTGACCGATATAGCAAGTAGCCTTATTTATTTAACTGAACAAGTAAAGGTTAGCTATGAATTCCCTTGTTTTAGTTTGTATACAAACCAAGCTGTAATCCCACTAATTATAATTTCCCCCCTTTTTTTCCCTCAAAGTTTCCTGCTTCATTATCTTCATAAATTATCCTCTTCAATCTTTTTAAAGACTTGATCCCATCATTTTTCTCCTTTTTCCAGAATCTTCAGCCTCTTCTATTTTTCCTTCCTCTTTATCTTATAAACATTGATGTCTTTCCTGCCTAAGAAAAAACAAAACCTCCTTCCTTGCATCCCCCTGTAACTATGACTTACTAGTTAATCTTCTGGCATTCTATAGCCAAATTTAAAATATTCAACTCTTGCTGCCAGCATATCCTCACTTCCCATTCATTTCTTAACTATCTGCAGCCTGGCTTCAGCTTCTCCCAATCCACTGCAATTTTTTTTTGCCAAAATAACTAATAACTGTATGGTTGCTGAAACATCAACAAACATCAAAGGGAGGAAACTGAAGTCTCTTCTTGACTTGTCCGTGATATTAGCCACTCATTGAAATTTCTCTCTTCCTTTCCAGTGTATTCTCTTTACCTCCCAAAACACTCCATTCTCTAGTTCTTTAACTGATTCTACTTCTTTGCACCATGCATCAAATGTTGGTATTCCCCAATCCTCTGACTTCAGCCTTTTTCTTATTTTATATACCCATAGTTTTCTTGAGGTTATTTCTTTCACATTCATCACTTGAATGTCATTGTTTCTATGCTAATGACTCATGAATCTGCTTTTTAATTTTTTCTTTTGGTACTGGGAATCTTACCCAGGAGAGCTACAACTTTTGATCCTCCTGCCTCAGCCTTCCAAGTTGCTGGGATTACGTATGTGAATCACCTCTGTGCATGACTCATGAACTTAGGTTGCTCCATTTAAAATCCGCTCCAGGGCTGGGGTTGAGCTCAGTGGTAAAGTCTAACATGCATGAGGAACTGGGTTCGATTCTCAGCACTGCATATAAATAAAGATCCATCGACAACAAAATATTGAAAAAAATCTGCATCAAGGTTTATTCCTGGGGATAGGAAGGGCAGTAGAATAAAATAGGGATTATTATTGCTGTATGTATATAGGTGACTGTATGACCAATGTGATTCTGCAACCTGTACAATCAGAAAAATGAGAAATTATACCCCATTTGATTCAAATGTATGATTTGTCAAGATCATTGTACTGTCATGTGTAACTAATAAAAAATAAATAAATAAATAAAGATTTATTCCCAAATCCTGTCATTTGAGATAACATGGATGGACCTGGAAGACATTGTGATAAATGAAATTAGCCAGACAAATACTGCATGGTCTCACTCATATGGGAAATCTAAAAGTGTTGAAAAGTGGGAAGTGGGATGATGGTTACCAGAGGCTGGCAGAGGGTGGTAGATGGGGAAGGGAAGAGATTGATCAAAGGATTCAAAGTTTCTGTTGGACAGGAGAATAAGCTTTAGTAATCTGTTGCAGGAAATGGCAATTATAATTAGTAAGAATGCATTGTATAGGGGTCAGGGTTGTGGCTCAGTGGTAGAGCTCTTACCTAGCATACATGAGGCAGAGGCACTGGGTTCAATCCCTGGCACCACATAAAAATAAAAATAAACAAAATAAAGGTATTGTGTCCATCCACAACACACACATATATATAATGCATTGTATATTTCAGAATTGCTAAAAGCAGATTTTAAGTGTTTTTAATCACAAAAAAATTAGCACATGGCCAGGCATAGTGGTGCACACCTATAATTCTAGCAACCCAGAAGGCTGAGTCAGGAAGATTACAGGTTCAAAGCCAGCCTCAGCAACTCAGAGGCCCTAAGCAAATTGGTGAGACCTTGTCTCAAAAACAAAAACAAAAATAAAAAATATAAAAAGGGCTTGGAATGTGACCCAATGGTTAAGTGTTCCTGGATTTAATCCCTGATACAAAAAAAAAATTATATATATATATATATATATATATATATATATATATATATATGAGGGTGGATTTTGTTAATTAGCCTAATATAATTATTTCACATCATGAACATGTCAGAACATCCTATTGTACCTCTTAAATATAAATAGTATTTGTCAAAAATAAAATGTTAACAAAAACTTTATTCTTCGATGCTACTTTGCGTAATAATGTTGTATCTCAACCAGGATTTACCAGATACTTCAGAATTCAACAAGTCTAAGAACTAATTAGTTTTTCCTTTTTTTTATTCCCCATCTCAGAGGATGATACCCTTCTCTTCCCAGTTGCCCAAACTACATCCTCAGCCCTTTCTTTAAATTTTAAAAATTTTGAGAAGTTGCTGATGCTGGCCACAAATTTATGATCCTCCTGCCTCAGCCTCTCAATTTGCTGGAATTACATGTGGGAATCACCATGTGCAGCATGACTCATGAACCTAAGATCCATTAAAAATGATGAAAGTATCTTTCACTCACCCTCAAATGTTCAGTGTCTACCTTCCCTTCTACCCCCTATCTCTCCAATTCTTCCTCTTCTCTCGGTAACTGCCTTTGTTCAAACATTCATCATTTTTTATCTAAACTTGGTTTCTTAACTTTCTTATCTCATTCTGTTCACCTTTATTATTTAAAATTTAACCTTTATTATTTATTTATTTTTTAATGTGGTGCTGAGGATCAAACCCAGTACCTCACCTGTGCTAGGCAAGGGTTCTACCACTGAGCTATAGCCCCAGCCCTCACCTGCAGTTTATTTTCGCCACTTACAACAGAAAAATGATGCATTCATATAAGTCCTACTAGTCTTCTGGGTAAACTGTTGGATCAATGCCTCCCTATAGCCCATAAAATAAGGGTTAAATTATTTAGCATGACATTTACAGGCCCTGCCTTTTCATAGGTCTTGTGATCCTTTGCATTTTAGATGTATTGAATCACTTGTGGTCTTCTTTTCTTTCTTTTTCTTCCTCCAGGTATTGGATCCAGGACCCAGGACTGAGTTTATGCTAAGTGTGTGTTCCACCATTGAGTTATAGCCACAGCTCTGTAATTTTCATATCTTCTTATTCCTGTGTCATGTGGACCCTAGTCCTGCTTGCCTGCATCCACACATACACATATGCGCACTCCTTCCTACACAAAGTCTTTCCTGACACCCCCAGCAAAAACTAGTTGCCCTTTTTGTGCTCCTTTAGCATCCTCTGGAAAATATGTTTGTAACAGCATCAATAAAGTCATTTGACTAGCTGCACACTGTGGCACTTGCTTATAATTCCAGCAACTTGAACTGCTTTCACAAGTTTGAAGCCAGTCTGGGCAAGTTAGTGAAACCCTGTCTCAAAATAAAGAGAAAAGAGCCACATTATGGTATTATTCCATCTGTATGTGTAAAATCCAGAATAGGCAAATCTGTACAAAGTAGATAAGTGGTAACCAAGGACAACAGAATAGAGTGTGACTACAGATGAGTACTGGATTTCTTTTTTCTTTTCTCTTTATTTATTAATTTTGGTACTGGGGATTGAACCAATGGGAATTCAGCTACTGAGCCACATCCCCAGTCCTTTTTATGTTTTATTTTGACACAGGGTCTCACCAAGTTGCTGAGACTGACCTCAAACTTGCGATCCTCCTGCTTCTACCTCCTGAGTTACTGGGATTATAGGCATGTGCCACCAGGCCTGGCTGGATTTCTTTTTGGGGTAATGAAAGTATTCTAGAATTAAAGAGTGGTGATGATTACATAATCTTTTGACTATACTAAAAAAAAGGCTGGGGTTGTGGCTCAGTGGTAGAGCGTTTGCCTAGTATGTGTGAGGCTCTGGGTTCAATCCTCCACATATAAATAAATAATATAAAGGTCCATTAATAAATAAAAAAATAGTTTTTAAAAACTACTGAATTACACACTTTAAAGGGGTGAATTTTATGTTTTGGTTTATATCTCAATAAAAATAATTACGAAGGCATAATATTCTGTTCCATTAATTATTGGAAAGCAAGGAATTATAAAAACAGGCTAGTCATGAGCTCATTTCTAGAATGTGAATATTTATAAAATTACATGTGTGAAACTGTTATCTTTGTCTAGATGAAAAGAAATGGGACTCTAATTGAGAAGAAATGTGACTCTGACATTTCCTGTGATATGAATAAATCTGTCAGAAGCAATGTGTAACTCCCCACCGCTACCAACAAAAAACTGTTAGTATTCTAAGACTGGAAACTAGAGTCCTAAAAATTATTTCCATAGCAACTTTATATCCTTTCTTAAAGCATCCAGTTACCCTGATGCTTCCCCTGAATTCTAACCAACCCTTATATTCATGGCAACCCACAATGAAAATCTTTCCTCTTTAGAATTACCTTTTTTGAGCATGGTGCTGACAAGCTTCTACACTGTTGGGGAGGTGGTTATTGCCTGAGGAAAGAGTCCCAATTCTGAGAGAGGTAAACAAGGATGTCAGGGCTTATGGGTAATGGTGAGAAGAACTAGGGTGAAGTAATAGGGTAGAGTCCTTCAGCATAAACTTAAGCTAAACTTCAGGAGTTAGGTGGATTCTAGAAAAGGACAAAGGATAATGATCTATGATTACTACATACATTGACTGGGTTTGGTTCAATAGAGTAAGGTGACATTCTTCTAGCAGATAAGCACTTTTTTTCAAGAGAAGGACCAGGGGAGAGGAGAGCTGGAAAACAGGACATCTCAGGTTTGGGCAGTAAGCCACAACTAGGCCTTAGCCTAGCCTCAGACCTCCTATTTGGGTAAACATTCTTAGGATCTATCCTTGAAAAGAGTTGGCACAAGCTAAAAATATCTCCTCTTGATAAATGATAAAGAAAAGTCCAGTATTTTTTAATTCCCTCCCTCATCCTCCTACTTTTCCAGATTAGTATCCAACAGACAGCCAGAAATGTGAGTGGCATGTTCTTATCAAAATCAGGAGGTAGATCCCAACCATAGACACCCACATACATGATAGTTGTAACTAGTTTTTTATTAAGCCAATTGGATGGGGGTTATTATAAGGAAGTTCTCATGCCCCACCGCAGTGCCCTGTGCCCCAGGGAGGAGGCTGGAGCTCAGCTGCTGCTGCAGTCAGCAAGGGTAGACATCCCAGTGCAGGCCGATGGCATCAATGACAGAACCAGCTCGGCCACTGATGAATCGAAGGACAGTGTTGGGGTGCAAGGGGACAGCATTGAAACTTGTGCCTGTGTCTTTCCCAAAAGGCAGGTAGCGGCCCTTGTCTGTCACAAAGACCAGCTTCCTCAGATAGTTCTTGTATTTGCCAGACACCTGAATCACTGATTCACCAGGGTGCAAAAAGATCTCCTCCAGGTCTCCTGATTTGCCACCCACATAGTCACTCCACACCTTGCCATAGCGCACCTGGAGACTGGGGACAAGTGGAGAAGGAAGGGAGTCATTGAATAAGGTTATCACAACTCAGGACCTCTGGGCCTACATGCTGAGACCTTCAAACTGGTGACATGACATTTTTAGTCCCATGGAATGTAAACCACATGAGCCCTAGAAGATCACACAGGGAATTTCAACTCTTCATTTTGCCAACAAACAGCCTCAGAGAGAAAAGAAGTTGCCCAGAATCACCCAGTCAACAGTGTTAGAACTTGAATTTGGAGTCCAGGGTTCTACTGTGTCCCCACCTCCCACCCCCCACCCCCCGTTTGAAACAGGCAAAATAATTTCCAAACATTTGAAAATCACCTGGATCAGAAGGAAACACATTTTGGCTCTGCATATCATAGTTTTCCAACTCTATGAAAGAAATGTGGCTATCTCAGGAGGGAAACAAAGCAAAGATGGAGGATGCCTGATAGGAATATTGCAAAGGAGCCCCCTCAGATGGGGGGTAGAAAACTTCCAGGCCCCTGAGACTTCATGGTTATATGATTTGCCAAGGTCACATGTGTTGTGGGAATTAAGGAGTTATGACAGGTCTAGAATCCCTGTCCTCTAACAACTTTCACCATATCATGTTTTACCTCTGACTTATTGATTGAAACAGAAGTGATCCAAAGCTAATGAGAACTTGCCAATTTGATAAGATCCTAGAGAGTCCCCAAACCACAGAAAATCAAAGAATCTTACCCTACAATGTAGTATCGACTGACACGGACACGAAGGGCAGTGATGGGGCCATCCAGCTGGTTGCCAGAATGGGAGAACCGCTGTCCTCCACCACCTCCATACTCTCCATTGTAGGAGGAGGACCTAGCCTGAACTGGAGAGAAGAGAGGAGTTGGAGCGAGAAATCCCCAGGGAACTCAGCTGCTCCCCACCACCCCTGTTCCTCCCACGACTCTGTGCCCACCACCGAGCCAACAGCAGTTCAGGGGCTGCCTTCCCATGATCCCATTCCCAGGCTTGTGGTGTCACACTTACTGGCATTGGCAGAGGCTGAGGCACAAAGAAGGGCTAGGATAGCAATCGTCAACATTCTGGGGCTGGAGTGGGAAGAAAGGAAAAATGAGGCTGTATCCTTTTCCCATTGGACTTCATTTACCCAGGCATCCCTGGTCTCCAGTTTAGACTTGGATTTTTCAGAACTTCAACTCAGATCTTGCCGGCTCAGTCTTGAACCTAAAGAGGACTGTTCATCTATGGTCTTGTTCCTTCCTTCCAAACAGTACCTTCTGGGTTTCCCTGGTCTGCCTATAGCCAGTCCTCTTTCTCCCTTCCAAACCAAAAGATCAGTTCTGACTCTGTCCAGATTTTAAGCTGTGTCAAGCCCCATTCCATCTTGGCACAAAGCAGTGTTCTAAAGAGGAAGTAGAGTACATCTCCAAAGCATAGAGAGGGGTGAGTTTACCAAATAAGAAGCTGAGCAAGCCTAACTGCACTTGGTCAGTTAGTAGATTAGCCTGGTTTATGGAGCATCTGGGGCATGGTTAAATCTCTAGCTTTACCATGGTCTCAAATCAGAAGGAAAGGAATATTTTAGAGGTGCCTCTGTCACCTGGGCTGAAGTGGTAGTAGAAGAGATTGTGCTGGTACCAGCATCTGAGCAGTTTTGGTGAAACTGAGAGAGACTTAGAAATTACAGAAAGAATTGTGATGAGCTCAAGATGTTAGATCCCAGGTACCTGGTCTACTTGTCATAATCCTTTCTCCAATAACACAAACCTGACCGTTTTCATTTCTCTGAGCATCACAAGTGTCCCCATTCCTTCAGTTGAAATCAGGCATCTTTGCACCTCATGTAGATCAGATTCAGGTGCCCCACTTAACTGACATTCAAATGCCCCCGTCACTCAATCCAGGCATCCTCTTATCCAGCTTAGATTTGAAAAACTCCCAACTCAGATCCAAGCATCCTGTCACCCCTCACCTGGCGGTTTCAGATGCAAAATAATCCCCCAGAAACTTTCAGACCATTTATACCAGGTCCAAGCCCTTCCCTTGCTCCTTATCGTGTGAACCTCACCTCCTGAACAAACATGATCAGCCTCTTAGGATCAGGTGTCGGGCAGGGTCTGGAACATCTTATCCTGCCCTTCCCCCAAGGGTTACAGGTGGCAAGGTGGGGTCCACTCTGGGCCAAGTGCCAAATCTCTGAGGGGCAAGATAAACTTCAGAAATGTCACCAAAAGGCCAGAAACTTTGAGTTACTGCAAAGTAGCTAGTCACCTCTGGGGTGTAATTTAAGGAGCTCTGTGGAAGGTTCTCTCTCCCCAAAAGGTTTGAGAGGCTCTCACCTGAAATCTGCCCTTTGTCAGGATAACCATTGCCCTCTCTGGGCATTTGAAATGTACATTCTCCCAAAAGGAAAATGCACTCCCGGTACCTTATACTGAACAGTGAATACTATTTGCCTGACAATTTTCTCTCTTCCTTCTGTTATTTTATTACAATAAATTCAAACATGGTAAAGTTCAAGGAATTACATAATGAACACCCATATGACCACCATATGGATTAATATTTTGAGTTAGTTGCTTTTTTAAAAAATATTTATTTAGTTGTAGATGAACACAAAGTATCTTTATTTATTTTTATGTGGTACTGAGGATCCAATCCAGTGCCTCACACATGCAAGGCAAGCACTCTACCACTGAGCTACCATTAGTTGCTTTTTTCCTTGTTCACTCATCTATTCATCCTCCATCTATCTGAGAAAGGTCATTTGGGGCTGGAGGTGGACCTTGAACCCCTCTCTAAGACACAGTCAATCTAGTGGGCAAATGGGACCCTGAGGAACCAAGGGTATGCAGGTCTTCCTCTGTGGGTAGTTCTGCACTTTGGACTCTCAGCATTCCTGGACACCAAGGCTATATAGCCCAAACAAGATAATTGCTACCTTTTTTAGGCCTGAAATAGACCCAAGAACAATATCAGATTTCTTCTCTTTTTAGGCCTTCTGTTATAGAACTGAGTTCTCTAGACCTAAAATCCCCAGAACCAACCCCTAGTGCCTGACCCCTCTAGGGCTAATCCTCTGACTCCTGAGAGTCAGCAGGGTCTTCCAAGTGGAGAGAAGGATGGAGCCCGGGTGAGGGGTTGGAGGGGGTTAGAATATACCCACAGCCCTCTTTATTTATGTATTTGATTTTTCCCCTATTACCAGAGTTCAAACCCAGGCCCTCATGCATGCTAGGCAAGTACCCTACCTCTGATAAAGAACACCCCAAACCCATTTTTTATTTTATTTTTTGACAGCGTCTGGCTAAGTTGCTGAATAACTGGCTCACTGAGTTGCCAAGGCTGGCCTTGAACTTGCAATCCTCCTGCCTCAGCCTCCCAAGTTGCTGGAATTCCAGGCTAGTGCCACTGCACCCAGCTTGTGTCAGTACTTAATCACAGGGGTGGGCATTCAGCACACCTCACCCATCCCTTACAGGCTGACCATCTGGGGCTGAGGAGTTGTCCACTTAGCAAAGGAAGACCTGCCCGAGGAGCCGGAATTAGGGTGGGGCTCCTAATGGCGAGATTCCTGGAGTAAAGTTGTTTCATGTCTCTTCCTGTCTCCTTTTCTCCAGGTTGAAGATAAGCATATCCTGATATCTTAACTTTTTCCTCATTCCAATTGTTTTATTTTGTTGTCCCTTACTCTTTCAATTTGCCTTTGTGCCTAAACCTTTGTTACTCATTTTGTAAAGCTATATATAGTTTCTTTACATTTTGAGTTTAAGTGCTGAGGTGGAATGAATCTACACCTTGTTTGTACAAGTAAACAGCTACCATCTGCTGGACACAACCATAAGGCATAAACTGATAAATAAATGAATCATGCTAATAAGAATGTCCACCTGTGAATTCATCAAATTAATCAGAAGCACGTGGATACATGGGCCTATGACACTCATATCAGAAAAACCAGACCCAAAAGCTTATCCAACACACCAGACCATGACAGCACTTTGACCCCCCATCACCTGGTCACTTGTCACAAGCCTGGCCCAGGAAAATTGCCACATCAACAAACCTCCAAATCTTGGTCCTCAGGCTTTAGCAGAGTATGGTTTCTCCTTCCCTTGACAACCACACAAGTCCCACTGCAAGTTGCCACCTCAAGCATACACTGAAACTGCCATCCACCCCTCCATCCAAACCTTGGCCTAGAATAAGTTCCTGTGCTTTGACAGCTCTATGCTCTGAACAAGTTCTTTGGCTGGTTAGTAATTTTATCTGACCACCTACCACCTCTTTGCATTCATATCTACTCTATGCCTTTGTTCTCAGTTCAGCCTTCAGAACCCCTGTGGCTGCCTTAGTCCTTTCTTAGCCTTTCTGTAGTGTGTGTGTGTGTGTGTGTGTGTGTGTGTGTGTAAAACCATGATCCACAGTAAACTTTTCCTCCTCTAGTTTGTTCTTGTTGAGTAGTCTAGTCATTGTGATACAAAACTGTGTGACTTAAATGTTATAGATATTAGAAATTAAGATTGGAATAAAAGAACCTGTGATTGTCTGATTTATGACTACCAGGTGACCCACAAGTGTTCAGTGAACTGCCACTGATAAAAGTGGTGTGGCCTGTGAATTTATTGTTATTTAATAAATTCTGACATTGTGGAAAGACACAAACATGTTTGGTCTATGTTAATGACATAGTACACTCACAACACCCTTTATGTCCTGATCTTTACCAGCATCTCCTGCTCTTGAGGGTTTTATTTCCCTCCCTCCCTCCCTCCCTTCCTTCCTTCCTTCCTTCCTTCCTTCCTTCCTTCCTTCCTTCCTTCCTTCCTTCCTCAGCACTGGGGATTAAACCCATGCTAGGCAAGCGTTCTATCACGAAGCTACAAACCCAGCCCTTTTTTGCCATAATTTTATATTGTGACAGGGTCTCCCTAAATTGCCCAGACTGGCCTTGAACTTGTCATTCTCCTGCTTAGGAGTTTAGCTGGGATTGCAGGTGTGCCACCACACCTGGCTAGGTTTTTTCCTTTATATTTCTTCTCTCCACGCCTTTCCCCTGTCTCTCATCCTTGCCTCTGTGTCTCTCCCAGGTCCTCCCTGTAGCTCTTTCCTCTCTCTAACTGCCCTCTGTCTCTCCTTATTAGGGGCACACCACACAGTCTGTAAGCAAACTCAGGAAAGTCCAAATGGCATCCCAGAGAGGTGTGAGGTGAGCACCTCAGGAGAATGCCCTCATGTTTCCCAGCATGACAGACCCAGACCCTAAGTCTTCACAGCTCCTTTTCTAAGTGCAAAAAATGTTCCTCCAGTGAAGGGATCTCAGCCCCTGTCCATTCCAGAAAACAGGAAGGCCACCGTATAGCTACTGTGGGTACCTCCAGAGTCTGCTCTTGTCATGGGAGAAGAGATGTCTCCAAAGAAGGGTCCAAAGGAATTGCCAGAGAGATGGGGAAACTTGACTTAGGAGTAGGGGGTTCTTGGCTTACATGATGGAAAAGAATTTCAGTGTGTGCTTGTTAGAGGCATAGATAGAGGTTTATTAAATAAAGAAGATTAACACATTCAAGGGAGAATGGGAGGTGACCTTACAGAGAGACAGCTTTGGGAGTAAAGCAAGGAATACACACTTAAGGAAGAATGTGGGCCATCTTGAGAATGAGAGATGTGGTTTGGGGGGTTTACTGTTTCCTTTTTTTGTAGATAAATAAATATATATTTATTCATATGCATTCTTTCTTTTTTGGGGGGTATCAGGGATTGAATTCAGGGGCACTCGACCACTGAGCCACATCCCCAGCCCTATTTTGTATTGTTTTTAGAGTCAGAGTCTCACTGAGTTGCTTAGCACCTCACTTTTGCTGAGGCTGGCTTTGAACTCTCAATCTTCTTTCTTACCTCAGTCTCCCAAGCCGCTAGGATTACAGGTGTGCACAACTGTGCCTGGCTCATACACAGTCTTTTTTTTAAATTTTAAGTATATATTATTTTAGTTGCAAATGGACACAATACCTTTATTTCATTTATTTTGTTATGTGGTGCTGAGGATTGAACCCAGTGCTTCATAATTGCATGGCAAGCTCTCTGCCACTGAGCCACAATACATGGATATATTACTTCAAAGTGGGAGTAGTGAGAAAGCAGGATTTTTAAATGTTTAATATATAGAGATATATATGTATGTATATTATTAATTAGTTCATTATAGATATACATATTTTTTTATTTATTTTTTATTAGTTGTTCAAAACATTACAAAGCTCTTGACATATCATATTTCATACATTTAATTCAAGTGGATTATGAACTCCCATTTTTACCCTGTATACAGATTGCAGAATCACATCGGTTACACATCCACGTATTTACATACTGCCATACTAGTGTCTGTTGTATTCTGCTGCCCTTCCTATCCTCTACTATCCCCCCTCCCCTACATAATATTTTTATTAGAGCTTTATAGTTATACTTAGTAGTTGGATTCATCCCAACAAACTCATAAATGCATGGAATTCAATTTCAGTTCATGATCCCACCCTGTTCCTCCCCGTCCTGGCTCTTTTAAAGGAAACTTGGTAGGGGGGTGGGTAGGGCAAGGTAATGGAGGAATGATGTAAGTCTGGTGATTTCAAGATGGTTTCTGGTGGTCTGATCAGTGTCAGGATCCTTAGGCTGGCATGGTCTTTCTTATCCAATCAATAGGTAGCACTGGAAAGTCTCCTAAATAATAGGTTTCTCAAACTATAACCCCCCCACACACACACACTTAATCTATTTATTGGGAGTTCATTAACAGTGCAAAGGTAGATTTACAAATTCCCTAGAAATTTGGGAGTGACATTCCTGAAAGAAAGACTGGCTTAGGGGATGATAGGTCTGGAT